GTGTGTTTGTGTGACTGTGTGTGTGTGTGTGTGCATATTTCTGAGGAATGAAGTAAATCAGCAATGGCTTCATCAGCACGTGTGTTCCCTGCTTTGTTACATTGCAGGTGGAATTGTTGGGGCGGGGAGGGTTCTGCGGAACAACATTGAATAAATATTTGATATTATGTCCAGAGACTTAGTATTGATACGGGTCCCCAATTCCCCAGCCATTTACATTTCAATGGAAATATTTTCTGTTTGCTTAACATAACATTGATGTTAACAATTTATTGTTATAAAGTATTTATATATCACATTCCGAACTTAGGTAGAGTCGGAAACAGTGAAGTTATTTTTACTTCGTTCCTTTTTGGGAAAGGCAAATATGGTAGGGGGTTTGAAATCAACGGAGAACACATTTGTATACATATATGTACGTGTGTGCGTATGATAGTTGATAATTGATTATACGCCCAGGGGAACCATTATGTATTTGATATCACCATTATGGGATAAAGGAAAGCGGTGGATATGTATTTTGTTTAGAATATGGGGTATAATAAATAATCAAGGCCAATTAAATCTGGGCAAGGGATAAAAAAATAAGGATTGTTTTATACCCTACACAACTATGTTGTCAGGCTTTGTGCAGCCTCAACAATTTGTAACGCTGCGAAATATTGGTCCTAGACCCACTTTTAAGTATACCGTTCATCATATCTCGACTAGCTGAGTCGATCTAGACATGTGCGTCCGTCCGTCTGTCCATTATATTTTGTAAACACGATACAGACCACAGTTATGGACCAATCTTCAAGAAAATTTGCATGTAGGATGGGTTCTGGCCAATGGAGACCGGTTTATATTAGGGGATGAAATGGACTAAAACTATATTTATGTCTGACTTTCTGGTCGCTCCAGAGGGTGCAATTATAACTTCGTGAATTTTCCAATGGGTAAGGGGATTGGGCCAAAGAATAAGCATGCCTGTATTAATCGTCCTTTGAAAGCGCTGCAGATATTCTTCTTCTTTCTAAAAGAGCTGCAGGTATTCTTCCTGTGGAAGATCTGCACCTTTTCTTCTTCCTATGGAAGGTCAGCAGGTAATTGTCTTCCTATAGGAAAGCTGCATGTAGTTTCCTTCATATAGGATAGCTGTATGTTTTCTTCTTTGTGCAGAAGAGTTGCATGTATTCTTCTTCCTGTGGAAGAGCTGCAGGTATATTTTTCCTTTGAAAGAGTTGCAGATATTCTGCTTCTTTGAAAAATCTGAAGTCATTCTTATTTCTATAGGAAAGCTAGAGGTATTCTTCTTCCTGTGGAAGAGTTGCAGCTATTCATCTTCCTGTAGAAGAGTTGCAGGTATTCTTCTTCCTGTAGGAGAGCTGCATGTAATTTTCTTTCTGTAGGAAAGCTGGAGGTATTTCCCTTCATATAGGAGAGCTGTATGTTTTTTGCTTCGTGTAGAAGAGTTGCATTTACTCTTCTTCCTGTGTAAGTGCTGCAGCTATTCTTCTTCCTGTGGAAGATCTGCAGGTATCCTTCTTCCTATGAAAGGTCAGCAGATATCTTTCTTCCGGTGGAAGAAAGTCAGCTATTCTTCTTCCTATGTAAAGCCAACAGGTAATTTTCTCCTATCTTTAGATCAATATTTAGAGTCAAATGGTCACTGACTTTTGTGCGAAAAAAATTAAATTTTTTTTCTGGGGCTCCTGAAGGACATATACCCTAGAAGTTGATGGTATATCCGTGAAGAGTTGTTGACCTTCAAATTGATACCAATTATATGACTGCATGTACTCTGATGTGGGTGTTATACGTAATTAGGTAAAGGTGACTATGTGCATAGTATTACTATTACTCCATTAGAGGGCGGAAATGTCGCGCTGATCGCTTTGAAATTGTACATGGAGTTCCGATTATGGTTAAGGATGACGCCTACAGTTTTCGGTGAAGTTGAGATTTCCATGAACCGAAAACTTCAATATTGTCAGATTTTCTAGTCGCTCTACAGACAAATATTATATGCAGAACATCACATATTTTACAAGGTGAAGGTGATCTGACCAAATACTTAGGGCGGCTGTTTAGATAATGATCGGTCAATTTTTCGAGGGTCAAATCAACCAAACCCTAAAGTGACAATTTTCTTTATTTTACGGCGTAAAAATTAATTTCAAGAAAAAAAAATGGAAAATATGCCAGGGTTCGAAAGTGAAGTTGTTGATCTATAACCGGTAAAAAGCATGCAAATATCTCGAAATATTGTCCAGGCTCAGAATATAGAACCGCAGAAAGTTTGATTTTCGTGGTAGTTGTGTAGGGTATCATATGATCGGCCCCGTCCGACTATACTGCTCCACTCACTGGTTTAATATTTTATAGGGTCTTGCATAAGACGTGGACCATTATTGGACCATATCAATGTGGCTTCAAACGTGGCAAATCCACCATTGACCAGATTTTCACTCTGCGTCAAATCCACAAGACAAAACTCACGAAAAACACATCGACACATTCCACCTATTCGTCAACTATAAAGCCGCATTCGACAGCCCTATCCGTCTGCGTTTGCCATTCCTGCAAAATTAATTCGGCTATGCAGGATAACTTTAACTGGCACAAGATCTACAGGGTATCATATGGTCGGCCCTGTCCAACTATACTGCTCCGTTCACTGGTTTAATATTTTATAGGGTCTTCAGTAAGACGTGGACCATTATTGGACCATACCAATGCGGCGTCAAACCTGGCAAATCCACCATTGACCAGATTTTCACACTGCGCCAAATCCTCGAAAAAACTCACGAAAAACACATCGACACATTCCACCTATTCGTCAACTATAAAGCCGCATTCGACAGCCCTATCCGTCTGCGTTTGGCATTCCTGCAAAATTAATTCGGCTATGCAGGATAACTTTAACTGGCATAAGATCAACAGTTAAAGTTGGACCTGTCAGAGCCCTTTAATACCGAACGAGGATTCAGACAAGGTGACAGTTTGTCGTGTGACCTTTTTAACATCCTGCTAGAAAAGGTCATACGAGAGGCAAAGTGAACAGAAATGGTACTCTGTACACCAAACAATACATATTACTCGCCTACGCCGATGACATCGACATAATAGGTCGAACACTAAGAGCGGTAACAGCCACCTTTGAACAAATTGAGAAGGAGTCTGCCAAAGTGCGTGTGACAGTAAACGGTGAGAAGACCAATCTGATGGTATCAACGCGCAGACGTCCAGTATACTTGAACCAACTGTGGAACTTGAGAACTACAGCTTCGAGGTAGTCAAAAATTGTATATACCTTGGTACCGCGATAAACAAAACGAATGACATCAGTTTTGCAATTCGGAGAAGGATAGTGATGACCAACCGATGCTATTGTGGTCTGAGCAAACAAATCAAAAGCAAGGCCACCTCCCGCCAGACAAAACTCACACTCTACAAGACGCTGATACTACCCGTGCTGTTATATGGATATGAATCATGGGTACTTGCGCAAGCAGATGAGGCAGCTCTTGGAGTGTTTGAGAGAAAAATTATCCGAAATATCAATGGGCCGATCTGCGCTAACGGTGAATATCGCCGTCGACTGAACCATGAGTTGTACCTGCTATTCTAGGACATCGACGTTGTTAGACGTATTGAGCTACAGCGACTACGTTGACTAGGTCATGTTGTGAGAATGGATGAAGATGCCCCAGCCCAGAAGGCATATAAAATCGAACCAGCTGATGGTTCCCGCAGAAGGGGAAGGCCACGAATACGATAGATAGATCAGAGATCAAGTCGAAGACAACATTGTCGAATATGGTCTTTCAAATGGGGAAAAACTGCGCAAAAGACCGACGCGCCTGGAAATCTTTTCTAAGCTCGGCTTATGGAACGAGAGTTCTGCCACAAGCCAGGTAAATAAGTAAGCAATAAGACGTGGATGTTTTAAAAAATTTTCAAATGATTTATTGGAAAATGTTTTAAAGGGTTTTTATACCCTTCACCACACTGTGGTACAGGGTATTATGTCTTTGTGCATATGTTTGTAACAGGCAAAAATAATCGAGATAGACCCATGGTTCCTTAGAATCACTTTCTGAGTTGATTTATGCATGTCCGTCCGTCCGTCTGTCTGTCCATGTTAAATTGTAAACAAAGTACAGGTCGCATTTATAATCCGAATTGGATGAAATTTGGCACAGGTAACTTATTCGGCCCAAGGACGAACCCTATTGAGATTGGGAAAAATCGATTCAGATTTAGATATAGCTCCCATATATTTTTTCGCCCGATTTAAGGTAAATTGTGTACCAAAGTCCCTATATATCTTTCGATTTGCACGAAATTTGGCATAGCGTACTGAATTAAGTCTAGAATGATGTTGCTAAACTTCGTGAAAAGGTCATAGCTAGGCTAATTGACACAACGTACTGAAGTAATATACATAAGTCTCTGGCAAGTTTCCCTGAAATCGGTTCAGATATAGATATATAACAAAAACCCAACGTCTGTTACGATACATATGTATAATATACCCAAAATGGTGAAGGGTATCATATAGTCGGCCCAGTCCGACTTTACTACTTTCCTTACTGGTTTAAAAAGTATTTTTTGTGTGCCCCCATAAAGCTTGGAATTTTAGATGGTCTTCATAAGCCTTGGATTTTTTAAAGAATAAAGAATGAGAGTACCCGATTTAGATTTTTTGAAAAATATTTTAAGAGTCACCTTAAATATTGGAGTTTTTGAAAAACATGTTTTTTATATTTTCTGAGAATAACCAGTTTAAGAATATTTTTTAATTATACATTTATAAAACTAATATAGAAATATTTATATATTATAATAATTATTTTTTTGATTTGTTTTCTAAATACACAGCACAAAAAAATTGATCTAACTAAAATTTAAAAATATCAACACAGATTTGTGACTTCTATCAAACATCAACCTTGTCGACGCTCTTATCTTACAATTTCTTATCACATTTTATTTTTAATTGGCTGCTGTCATTTTCATTGTTCTATTCTTTGTGTAACTTCATTTGGATAATCCGTATCGGCTTTGAAAAGATAACACAATTGCCAATGTAATTTCTCCTGGGCCGTGAAGGTGAGGGGATAATTATTAATATTACACCTTATAAGGCCTTCGTCCGCGAAACGATTCTCATTTAAACGACATTGTTGAGCAAAAAATTTGGCAAAATATTGATTTAATTCATAACAGCTGGGACAGTGATGGCATGGATCTTGATCGCCTAAATTTTCATTGAATACCCTTTCTGGATGAATTTGGGAACCATAGAAGGGAAATCTGGAGAAAATATATGTATATATGTGTGAGATATATTTATTTAAAAAATTCGCTCTTTTACTTACTCTTTGTGCTCTACAATGTTTATAAATTCCAAACCATTATCATCCTTATTACAGGCCAATACCTGCCATTGGTCCTCGATTTTAAACATTCTCAAATCCTCTTTTGTAATACAATATTTGTGGTAATGGTAACCGAATGGTTGTGATGACATTCGTGCTTTCACTGATTCGTCTAGGTCGGCAAATAATTTGGATTTTTGTAAAACTAAAAGAGAAGAAGACAATTTTATAAAATACTAGCATAGGCCCGCTACGTCGTTAGCGGATCTTTTTATAATTCAAATAAATAAATAAATATTAATTAAACATTAATTTAGGATTAAGTATAAATTTGAAACATTTCGAATAATAATAGGCCCTATATCTTAATTTTTATGAACTTGTATTATTTCCTGAAAGCGTACTATTTTCTCGACCCTCCCGATGGACCAATGCAAATAGTACCATAATAAGTTTTTTAAACTTCTTTGTTCCTGTCAGCAATTTATTACTAATGATACTTTTGTACTCTTATGGTACGAATTTGTAATATAAAAATTGCAGAAATTTATTCCGGTGCGATACGTGTTACAAAATCCTCATTGGAAAAAATTGTCGGTATTTTTTGTATATCCTTGACATACAAATTCCGCCCATTATTTCCAGTGTGGTTGGAAACATTATTGGAAATAAATATCAGTTCTGTTATGGTGGTAGATATTGTAGAAACATTTGCATTTAAAAGTGCCAATAATTTAGTACTTGTTGTGTCCAGGGGTTTGTTTGCTCACTACATCGGAAGTTTAAACCAAAATTCACATAACTATTCGCTGTAGTATAGATCGATCAGTAATTTTTAGTAAAAATTTTCGAAGAATATTTCCATAAAACATATTACTTGTCATAGTCAAAGATAAATACTAAAATTCGGATATCTGTCTTTAACCTATCCTATTTAGTACTTTCAAGCATAACAATATTTCGTACTTTATGTACAAATGTCAAACAAAATTGTGAAAAGCATTGTTTTTATAGAAAAATCCAAATTCTATATGCACCCGAACCGCCGTACAATATGTTGTAAATTTTAGAACTTATTTCTGGAAAATATTTACGCTTAAAGGTTTATTTGCATAGTTCCAGATAAGTATTTAATAACAGGTTCCTATATTAATCCATTCTACCGTACACAATATTTAGTACTTGTTAGTACCGTTAGGTTACAAACTTTTTGGCATATTCCACTTTTTAAAATATACAAAGCTACATACCGAATTGCACATCGTGCAATATTTTGTGTTTTTGTTGCCGTTTAGTACTAATTTCCAATAAACCAATAAACTGTACTCTAAATTTACATTTATATTTATTTGCCATACACTGTGGTAGAATATTTAATACAATTTTCGAAAAATATCGCACTATTTGTAATAGTTAAGCTACATATTTTAATCTCTAGCTTTTCCATTATAATTTAATATTTTGTACCATTTTAGTACTAATATCAAAAATATGTTACTCTATTTGTAATAGTGTTTCAGATTTGTATTTCTTCCGGTTCCATTATACTACAGTATTAAGTACTAATTTAAAAAATATATATGCATACATTCTATTTGTAATAGAGTAAGCTACATACTGAGATTCAGATTTATATTTCTACCAGTTCTATTGTATTTTATTAGTTAGTACTTTTTATTACCACTTTAGTACTAATTTCCAAAAAAATGTTATGTATAGTATTCTATTTGTAAATGTTAAAGCTATATGGACAGTTTCACATTTCTATCTCTGTCGGTTATATTGCAATATACTATCTACAATTTTTTAGTACATTTCAGTACTAATTTCCAAAAAAATACATTTTCCCATTATTCTATTTGTAATAGCTATTTCAGATATTTATCCTTACCTGTTCCATCGTAGTAAAATATTTAGTACTTGTTAGTACTTTTAGTACTAATTTCCAAAATTTGTTCACACATTCTTATTTTAGAGTTCTACTTCCAACCGTTGCGGTGTAGTACTGTTTTAGTACATTTTAGTACTAATTTTCAAAAAAATATTTTGCATATCATTATATTTGTAATATCTTAAACTACATACCAAGTTTGAGATATGTATCTCTATCGGCTTCATTCTAATACATTATTTAGAACTATTTAGTACCTTTAGTACTAAATTAAAAAAATCCACACATACCGCTTCCCCTATTATTAACAAAGCTGTATACCAAATTTCAGAGTTGTACTTCCAACCGTTCGTGAGTTATAGAGTTTTAGTACTTTTTAGTACCATTTTAGTACTAATTTCCAAGAAATATTTTTCTACCTCATTCTATTCGTAATAGCTTAAGCCTCATACCAAGTTTCAGATATACATCTCTATAGATTCTATTCAAATATAATGTTTAGTACTTTTTAGTACCTCTTAGTACTAAATTCCAAAATTTTTTCACATATACCACTTTGCTTATCGTAGGAAAAGCTGCATACCAAATTTCAGAATTCTACATCTAACCGTTCCCGCGTAATACAGTTTTTAGTACTTTTTAGTACCTTTTAGTACGAATATCCAAAAACCGCGCCTTATCACACGCTTCCCCACCAAACCCAACCTACATGTCGAATTTCAAGTTTCTAGCTTTAGCCGTTTCGTCTGGGCGTTGATGATCAGTCAGTCACTTATAACGCAACTCTTTTATATATATAGATAAAAAAAATCTGACTCTAAACCCTCTTACCTTTGTCATCCTCAAATTGAACTGGCAATGAAACATTCATAGATTTACAATCCTGTCGCACATCTTCGACACCGGCTGAATGCGTTAGTAACAGCTGATAACCCAGACAGGTACCCCACAATGGAAAATGCTTTAATTGCCGGGCAATATCGAAAATTATTTTGGAACTGGTATAAGCATGGCTGGTCATATCTTTGGTACAGAATTTCGGATTGAAGAAAATAGCCCCACCAGGCATTAAAATTCTGTAAAGGGATATTTTTTATTTTTGTTTTTTAATTTGTGATATTTGACGATTTAATTTACCCATTAATTTTATTCATTATCGATTCATAATAGATGCGAGGTCGATTGTTCCTAAAATGAAACAAGATAAAAAATGATAAATTATTAATTTTAAAAATTATTTTTCTATGGAATTTTATAACGTCCAGTTCCCAATATTTGTAAAAAAGATTTTGAATAAGATTTGAACCAAACCAAAGGGCGTGGATTTAAAGAAAAACTTTTTTAAAGACTACTAAAGAGCGTGGATTTTGTAAAAATATTTGCTAGAGACTACCAATGAAACATTTTATATGCATTAACAATGGGCCTGGTAGTTTTAAAAATTATATTTGGTTCAAGAACGAACCCTATTTAAATTGGGAAAAATCAGTTCAGATTTACATATAGCTCCCATATATATTTTCACCCTATTTTATGTAAATAGTGTACGAAAGTCCGTACATTTCCTTCGATGTGCACGAAATTTGGTATAGCGTACAGAATTGAGTATAGAATGATGTATGTTAAGTTTCGTGAAAATCGGTTCAGATTTAGATATAGCTCCGATATATATTTTCGTCCGATTTTATGTAAATAGTGTACGAAAGTCCCTACTTGTCCTTCGATTTGCCCGAAATTTGGCATAGCGTACTGAATTGAATGTAGGGTATATAGGGTACTGAATTAAGTCCAGATTGATGTTACTAAGATTCGTGAAAAGATCTACAGCTAGGCCGATTGACACAACGCACTGAAGTAATATAAAGTAGTCTCTGGCAAGTTTCCCTGAAATCGGTTCAGATATAGATATATAACAAGCATGCGACGTCTGTTAGGATACATATGTAGAATATACCCAAAGTGGTGAAGGGTATCATATAGTCGGCCCAGTCCGGTTTGAAACCGAGAATGGGGGTCCCCTTAATTTCGCCTGATTCATTTCAAAGGTTCTCTAAAGAGCATATGTATCTATCTACAAGATATTGTATATATTAGCGCTCCTTGTATGTATAATCATTTCCGACCCAAAATAATCATTTCCGACCCTATAAAGTATATATATTCTTGATCAGCGTAAAATTCCGACTGTCCGTCTGTCTGTCTGTTGTAATCACTCTAGCGTCTAAAGGAATTGAGATAGATCGCCAAAATTTTGCAGTCAGGTCAAGTTCGAAGATAGGCTTTATCGGTCCACGTTTAGGCATAGCTCCCATATAAGGGTAGCCCCAATTTTCGGTATTTTGAGGTTCTTGAGCGTGTTTTTCAAGTGAATTCGCTGAAATTTGGTACATTGAGTTTTTATTGGGTACCAAATCTCTCCACTAAAAATTATAAATATGTGTGTATATTTTCGGATACCCCCATATAGGGGTACCCTTAATTTTGCGTTGTTTTGGGGTGTTTGATCGCATTTTTCGACCGAATTCGCTGAAATTGGGTACTTTGAGTTCTTATTGGGTAGCAAATCTCTACACTACAAATTATAAATATGGATCAATTTTTTCGGGTAGCCCCCATATAAGGGTACGCCCAATTTTCGGTATTTTAGGGTTCTTAAGCGTGGTTTTCTACCGATTTCGCTGAAATTTGGTACAGGGGGTTCTTATAGGGTACCAAATTTCCCCACTAAAAATTATAAATATAGGTCCACTTTTTCTGGCAGTCCCCATATAAGGGTACCTCCCAATTTCCACTTTTTGGGGGTTTTGACCGGGATTTTTCACCGAATTGGCTGTAATTTTGAAATTTAAGTTCTTATTGGATAGCAAATCTCTCCACAAAAAATTATAAATTTTGGTCAAAAATTATAAATATGGGTCCATATTTTCGGATAGCGCCCATATAAGGGTACCCCTAAGTTTGTGGTGTTTTGGGGGGTTTGATCGCATTTTTCGACCGAATTCGCTGAAATTGGGTACTTTAAGTTCTTATTGGGTAGCAAATCTCTCCACAAAAAATTATAAATATAGGTCAATTTTTTCGGGTAGCCCTAATATAAGGGTACCACCAATTTTCGACATTTTGAGGTTCTTGAGGGCGTTTTTCAAATGAATTCGCTGAAATTTGGTATTTTGTAGTCGTATATGGTAACAAATCTCCTCAACTAAAAATTATTAATATTCACCCCTTTTTAGAGGTAGTCCCCATAGAACCCCCTTTTATATTAAAATAGTTGTCTGATTTTTTCCGTGTGTTGCGGTTGGGTAGTCGTTACGGGGAATAGTCAATTTAGCCATCTGTTGTAAGCATTCCGCCTTCGAAAAATATTGTGATAAAAACTCAAACATGACTATAATGAAATATATTGTCAGACATTTAGGCATCTCCTCAATATGGTGATACATCCTGAAGGAGGTACAGATTTTAGAAAAAATGCCCATTAAAATTGCTGAAGTTTGTATTTGGTGTACATAATGGTTTACATAAATCGGTTTGTAGAATTATCGGTATATGCCCACTTTTTGGGTAAGTTCCCTATATTTTCATTGCATGTATCTGTCAGTATAACTATGGTGGAGGGCCGAACTTAACGCTTTTTCACTTGTTTTAATTTAAATCCCCGCCTATTGAAGACTTTAATTAATGCATATTTTTATTATTTTAAAAACATGACCGTTATCTAAATTTTTTTCGACCATTGGCAACACTACGTAAGCAATATGTATTTAATATTAAGGTTATTGATTTTTCCCACAAAAGCAAACTGCCTTTCTCTTCTGCAGAACACTTTCTCTTTCTCAAAATGCTCTCATCTCTTTTGGATTTTCATATCAATCTCCCAAACAGTCAACTGTTTGTTTATGCAATCTTTTGCAGGTATTCGTGTGATTTGTTTACAAAACAATGTTGTTTTTCTTTTCTTTTTTATATTTCAGAATTCAAAAATATTTTCTTTTTTTTCAAATATGGGGGAAGAGGTAGGCGAACTCACACTCACTTACCATATGGGTATGACTTTAGCACCGGCTGCTTCCAAAAATCTCACATACGATGCAGCCAAGTAGCTCTGGTATTCCCTGCCATACCTGTTCTGCAACGTCGTGGCAATATCCATGCACAGGATACCAATGACAGGTGTAACGGTTTCATTGCAATGCAAATTTCCCATCATCTTGAAATTTTTTTCTTGACCCTCACTCACACTGCAGGCTGATAGGGCAAATTCAATAACAAACTTATAATTATTTTTTGTTCGGTTTGTGAGAAGAAGAAAAATACGCACGCTAATTCGTTTTAATTGTGGCACTCAGATGTTTAGTGGCCGACAACTTGATGCACACTGAATAGAAATTGCATTGTTTGGATAAAAGAGAAACAACAACAACAATAACAGCAAATAAGCATTCTACAATAACGAAAGAAAGGAAAAAAATGACGATGAGGTGTATGTGTATATACGAGTGTGTGTGTATGTGTATGCATTTCTAAGTTATTCACGGCCATGGTGTTTTATGAATGAACGCTAGAAATTCTCTTTGTTAGTCTGTATGATGACTGATTTTTATTTTTTAAATATTTATAAGAACGTATTTATTTAGCAAACACTAGAAATAACTCAAATTGAAAGAAAATATTGTAACTATTTATTGGTTAATATTAAAAAAATCCATATACCCTAAAAAAGTATTTTAAGTTCACGCTTATTGGGGGTCGTAAAAAAATACGTTCATAAAAAATCGCATATGGTTATACACAACATACACAAATTTCAGAAAATTTTAATTGTTAATATACCCTCAGCTTTTTGGCTAAGGAGGCTGTATACACTTTGACACAGTTAAATGGTTCTACACCCCATGTTTCTTTGGACCAAATTTGTTTCAGAAAATATTATTTCTTCCAAACTTAGTTCAAGTTCGAAGATAGGGAATATCGGTCCACTTCTTCTGGTACCTCCCACACAGGAGCTAGGCCTAAATGCGGGTTACAGTTCATATATAGTTCATTATCGAACCTTACGTTCTATTTTTATCTCGATATCCTCCGCAGGTGAAATGATTACAAAAGAGCGTTAGAACCAAACCCAAAACGCGGAACAAATCAGATAACTATTTTAATATAAAAAAGGGGGTTATATGGGGATTACCCCAAAAAGGGGGCGAATATTAATAATTTTTGGTGGGGAGATTTCGTACCACATACGACTACAAACTACCAAATTGCAGCGAATTTGGTAGAAAAACGCGCTCAAGAACCCCAAAATACCGAAAATTGGGGGTACCCTTATATGGGGGCTATCCGAAAAAATGGACCTATATTTATAATTTTTAGTGGAGAAATTTGCTACCCAATAAGAACTCAAAGTACTAAATAACAGCCAATTCTATGAGAAAAATGCGATCAAAACCCCCAAAATACGGAAATTTGGGGGGTACGGTTATATGGGGGCTACCAGAGAAAGTGGCCCGATATTTATAATTTTTAGTTTAGATAATTGGGACCAAATAAGAACCCAATGTTCCAAATTTCAGAGAATTCGGTTGAAAAACGCGCTCAAGAACCCCAAAATACCGAAAATTGGGGGTACCCTTATATGGGGGCTATCCGAAAAAATTCACCTATATTTATAATTTTTTGTGGAGAGATTTGGTACCTATTAGGAACTCGAAATACTAAATTACAGCCAATTTGGTGGAAAAATACGATCAAAACCCCCAAAATACTAAAAATTAGGAGGTGCCGATATATGGGGCTACCAGGAAAAGTGGATCTATATTTATAATTTTTTGTGGGGACATTAATTACCCAATAAGAAATCAATGTACCAAATTTCAGCTTATTCGGTTGAAAATCGAGCTCAAGAACCCCAAAATACCGACAATTGTAGCTCGTTCCCACGCCACTCACACCTGCCCCAACCGACCGAAAGGGTGACCTACCTTTCGTAGTAATAGCGTTCACACCATAGATCGATCCATGGCAGGATAGTGAACAGTGGGACCACCAGCTACATGCAAATATGCTGATGAAATAAAATTTTTCGTGCTACTCGATTTTCTAAACAATGAGAATCCAAAATATATAAAATTTGTGGACAAGTGGGTTGAAAAAATCATCGAAATACCGAATATTGACATTAACTATCTTTAATATTGCGAGCTCTATCGTGATATCCACATACAGACGAACATGGCGGAATAGACACGTTTATTGCTAGTCTCTAAAAAAGTACGCAGTTGTATAATCTCACATTTCTACAATATTCAACATTTCTTTGTTACCCAAATTTATCATTCAAAGACCTTTTTCAGTTTAGAAAAAGAAATCAAAAACAAATATCGGGAATTTACCCACAATCATTGGTATACTAGATGAACCTCTTGTTTTTCACTCACACTGGAAATTAAAATCAATTTTATGGCATTATTGAAAAACATACACAAGCATGCACACTATAGAAGCAGCAACAACAAAATCCTAGGTCTGATAAAGTTAGCAGTTTCCTTAGTTGCTTTGTAGAATACACTTCCAGAAAATACATCGGTGTCCAATGGATGATAAGATAGATCATAAACTATTATCTACAATTTACATTTTTGAAACAAAGACGAGTTCAAGAAATTAGTAAATAAATTTGAATTTTTCATAAACTGATAATGCAAATTGCTAAATATTTTAATTTGATGGTCCACCATCCTAAAATTATGCTTTGTTTATGAATTCAAAAATAAAATTTCGAACCAGAGATGGATAATTGAAATTAAGAACTAAAAACATTACGAAGTTCGGCTGGACCATCAGCAAAGCATAAAATAAAACCAGTAAGGAAAGTAATAAAGTCGGACTGGGCCGACTATATTATTCCCTTCACCACTTTGGGTATATTCTACATATGTATCCTAACAGACGACGCGTTTTTGTTTTATATATATAACTGAACCGATTTCGGGGAAACGTGCCAAAGACTAATTTATATTATATTAGTATGTTGTGTCAATCGGCCTAGCTATGGATCTTTTCACGAAGCTTAGCAACATCATTCTAGACTTAATTCGTGCAAATCGAAAGATATATAGGGACTTTGGTACACAATTTACCTTAAATCGGACGAAGATATATATGGGAGCTATATCTAAATCTGAACCAATTTTCACGAAACTTTGCACACATCATTCTAGACTTAAGTCAGTACGCTATGGTAAAATTCGTGCAAATCAAAAGATTTCCAGGGACTTTTTACCTAAAATCGGGCGAAGCTATATATGCGAGCTATATCTAAATCTGAACCGATTTTCACGAAACTTGGCAGACATCATTCTAGACCTTATTCATTACGCTGTGCCAAATTTCGTGCAAGTCAAAAGATTTCCAGGGACTTTAGTGGTATATTTACCTAAAATCGGGCGAAGCTATATATGCGAGCTATATCTAAATCTGAACCGATTTTCACGAAACGTTGCACACATCATTCTAGACTTAATTTAATACGCTGTGCCAAATTTCGTGCACATCGAAATATATATAGGGACTTTGGTACACAATTTACCTTAAATCGGACAATGATATATATGAGAGTTATATCTAAATCTGAAACGATTTTCACGGAACTTGGCAGACATCATTCTAGACTTTATTCATTACGCTGTGCCAAATTTCATGCAAATCGAAAGATATATAGGGACTTTGGTGCACCATTTACCTTAAATCGGACGAAAATATATATGGGAGCTATATCTAAATCTGAACCGATTTGTCCCAATTTCAATAGGGTTCGTCCTTGGGCCAAACAAATGAACTGTGCCAAATTTCATCCAATTCGGATCATAAATGTGACCTGTACTTTGTTTACAATTTAACATGGACAGACGGACGGACACGCATAAATGACTCAGAAATTCTATGCATATTCTCAAAAGGAACCATGGGTCTTATCTCGATTATTTTTGCTTGTTAAAAATATATGTACAAAGACATAATACCTTGTACCACAGTGTGGTGAAAGGTATAAAAACTGCATACTTCCCATTCATATATAAATACAGCATTAAACTCGCCTATAAAGTCTCCCTTAAGCTCGCCTATAAAGAATTCCTTCAGCTAGCTTATAAAGAATTCCTTGAGCTCACCTATAAAGAATGCATTCAGCTCGTCTATAAAACCACTCTTCAGCTCGTCCATAAATACTTCATATAGCTCGTCCATAAAGATTCCATACAGCTCGCCTATAAAGACTCCCTTCAAATCGTCTATAAAGACGCCCTTCAGCTTGCCTATAAAGACTTTCTTCAGCTAGCCTATAAAGACTTCATTCAGCTCACATATAATATCTCCCTTCAGCTCGTTTATAAAGATTACTTTCAGCTCGTCAATAAGACTCCCTTATGGTCGCCAAAAAGTCATCCTTCAACACTCCTTTCAACTCTCCTATAAAGATTATTTTCTTCTCGCCCTATAGCTCGCCAACAAAAAATCACTTTAGCTTGTCTATAAGTACTTCCAGAGCATAAATATTTCCAAAGCTTATTAGGATTCCATTTGGAATACACCTCCAAGGCTCCTATAAAATTCCCATTGGTTCCCGTATAAAAACAATCTTCAGCTCATCTATAAAGACTTCCTTCAGACGACCATTTCGAATTGATTTTTCTCACAGAGTATGTATCTTTATATTGATTCATAAGAGTATCCATAATATCTTTATGTATATATACATACACATTGTCATTACGTTTATTTTGTTCAGTTACTTATGTATATAAAAAAAATAACAATAAAATGCAAATAATCTCAATAATTAGATATCAATCAGCTAAATCGATTTATCTCGCATCTATAGCCCTGATTATCGGTTAATGTTAAACACATTTCTTTTAAATCATAACCAAATGCGATGTATTACAAACACGCTAAACAATGTCAGCAGAATAGATGCACCGAACTTTTCGGCACCATTACCGCCGCCAACGCGATCTATGGGCTGCTCATCGAATAAATATTGCTGCATAAATGAAGAGCCAATAGCGCCAGTATATTTGGGGGCATAATTATAAATTAACGCTTCCGTTTCTTCGGTTTGATTTTTGAAAAATTGACGATTGCGGCGTGTTTCACCCACAAAGAAATCGGCAAAATATTGTGAAGCCTTAATGGCAAGGGTGGTGTGGGTTATATTGCGATTCTGTACAAACTCGTAGAGATTTTTTTCTGGATGAAATTGTACACCATAAAAAGGATACCTGTTGGAGAAGAGAAAAACAAGTCATGAGAGAAAACATGGTGATTACCAAAAGCAAAAAAAAAAATGTTATGTATGCAAGAAACGAAGCACCATGTAATTGCGTTAATAATTTATTAGCATACTTTTAGGCGAACTTACTTTTTATGTTCAATGCTGGATATAAATTCACTGCCATCCCAATCGTGATTGAGGCTCATCACCCTCCACAGTGTATCCAATTTCATAGTGGCAAAAGTCTGAAAAGAAAACCAAGAAACGAAAAAAACAAGCACAGCAACCAGTGAATTGATTATTAATGGAGAAATAATGTAATTTATATTAAAAATGTATTAGGTGTGTAATGGTATGGCATGGAATGCATAAAGAAAGCGAGAAAACACATGCATAAGTATTTTGGTAACACACCAGTCTAATGGATTTTATAAATAAATAACCCAAAGATGTTGCCTAAGGCAATGTTGTGATTTCTCGTGATTTGATTTTTTTTATCTTGCACTCACCTCTTCTGTAAAACAATACATATGGAAATTCGCCGTGACCGGATAATTCTTTAAAATATCTATAACTTCAGGACTTGCATTGCGAAACATTCTTGATTGCTGGAAATCTGAAAAGTACAACAAACATAAATGTATAAAAAAATACATATCGTATCGTAAATTTACAAACCTTCTTTAAATTCCAATGGCAATGGTTGGGCAGACGATGAACAATATGTTCGTGGCTCAGTTCCATTTGCCGATAAATATACCAACAACTCATAGCCCAAACATGTACCCCATACGGGAAAATAGGTACCATTATCATTGATTTCCATAGCAATTTCATAAATGTGACGACCAGCATCGGCATAGCCATTAGATTGATTGAAATATGTAGCGCCACCAGGTAGAAGGACTCTGAATTAAAAAAAGGAAATTTTATATTAAAAAAAAACAAAAATGCGAAATAATATAGAATTAAACAATGTGGTCTTTCCAAAAAGAAAAATTATTTAATACTTTATGTTAAAATACACCCTGAGCTTCATCTAGAAATCCCCAGATCTTCACATCCTTACTTCACTAAGATTTAGTAAGCGTCTTAAAATACTCCCAGACATTATTCCCTCCTAAAAAGACTTCATTCAGTTTTTATATCGTCAATATATGCTTTCTTCACTTTGTCTATAAAGCCTCCCTTCAGCTCGTCTATAAAGCCTCCCTTCAGCTCGTCTATAAAGCCTCCCTTCAGCTCGTCTATAAAGCCTCCCTTCAGCTCGTCTATAAAGCCTCCCTTCAGCTCGTCTATAAAGCCTCCCTTCAGCTCGTCTATAAAGACTCCCTTCAGCTCGTCTATAAAGACTCCCTTCAGCTCGTCTATAAAGACTCCCTTCAGCTCGTCTATAAAGACTCCCTTCAGCTCGTCTATAAAGACTCCCTTCAGCTCGTCTATAAAGACTCCCTTCAGCTCGTCTATAAAGACTCCCTTCAGCTCGTCTATAAAGACTCCCTTCAGCTCGTCTATAAAGACTCCCTTCAGCTCGTCTATATTATATATATATATATATATATATATTCAGCTCGTCTATAAAGACTCCCTTCAGCTCGTCTATAAAGACTCCCTTCAGCTCGTCTATAAAGACTCCCTTCAGCTCGTCTATAAAGACTCCCTTCAGCTCGTCTATAAAGACTACAGCTTCTATAAAGACTCCCTTCAGCTCGTCTATAAAGACTCCCTTCAGCTCGTCTATAAAGACTCCCTTCAGCTCGTCTATAAAGACTCCCTTCAGCTGGTCTATAAAGACTCCCTTCAGCTCGTCTATAAAGACTCCCTTCAGCTCGTCTATAAAGACTCCCTTCAGCTCGTCTATATTCCCGTCAGCTGTCTATATAAAATATATATTGATTATATATATATAATGTTTTAATACTCAAAACTTACCCATTAATTTTTGTTAAAATATCTTCATAGTATTCTCGCGGTTTACCAATCCTAGAATGAAGAAAACAAGAAAAATATGAATTATTTTTTTTAACAAAAAAGTTTGCTGGGTTATTTAAAAAATCACAAATTGTATTTAGTTATCTTAAGTAGTCGCGTTAAAAGAACACACAAATGTCAACTATCTCCATTATATTAATCGGGATTTTCGATGATATTTTTTATGACATTTTGATAATATATTGTCAAGTTGTGTGAATGTCTACTATTAACTCAAATCATAACAAATCATATTGTGATAACATATGTTTTTAAAAATTTTATTATTAGATAATTTATGTTTGCCAAGCGACATCGATCTCCGCCAGTACGAACAGTTATTGATGAAAAGTATTTTGTGCCAATTATCTCCATTATATTAATCGGGATTTTCGATGATATTTATTTATGACATTTCGAAAATATATTGTCAAGTCTACTCTTAACTCAAATCATAACATATGTACGTGACATTGTGATGACGTATATTTTTGAAAATGATTATTAAATAATTTATGTTTGCCAAGCGACAACGACCTCCGCCAGTACTAACTGTTATTGATGATAAGTATTCGGCCTGTCTGGGAAAATATTTCTATTTTTAACTGAGATAACTTAACGTCAGGAAATTAAAACAAATTAATCTTTTTAAATAAAGTTGTACCGCAAATTTTATAATTACAGATTTTTTTTATATTACACTAGGATACAATTTAAAAAAAAGAAATTAATAATTAATTATATTTAAATATCTCTGCATATACTATGCAATGTTTGCAATGCAGACATCTAGATATATAATTCCCCCATATACGAATATTTCGAAATCCGATAAAAATCCTAGGAAAAAAATTGTGTTGCATAGTGTTGTATTTTTATAATTTCATTCGATTTAAAATTGAACAAACATTTTAACGGTATTATTAAATAATACAAACACAATTATATTCTATACGTAATGGAATTTTTGGTTTCACAAAATACACTTATTCCGTTACAAAATAAAATAGCAAAATCTATTCCGTAATTAGAATGCATTATCAAAACGTAATAAGTGGCAATTTATATATTTGCGATGGAAATCGCAAAAATGGGTATAAGTCGTCCATTTTTTAACCAATTTTTTTGATTTTTCTCATTTTCGAAAGTTTATTTAATTGTCTTCCCCGTAATATAATAAAACTTATACGGCTTGATATCATAATTTATTCGTACGGTCCGAAGAAAAATAAATTTTGTCATTTTATGGGTATTTTTTCACTTTTCGACCACTGTAACTCAGAAAGAAATAAAGACATACGCGTTTCAAAGTGAAAATCTATGAAACCACGGTTTTCTCTACATTTACCGTTATAAAACTAATTTTCGAAGTGACCCAGAAAAACAAAAGGTATTTTCGTGGTCCAGGGACTCCAACCAAACAGAATATGTACATTAGAACCCCTAAAAATTGTTCGTGTCGCACAGTGTTATTTTCGTGTAAACTGAAAGTCATTCTGTTTCTTATAAACATAAGACTTGAGGAAGTGGGCTTAATAATTTTGTAATTTCTATACATTTATACAAATTCACTTAAAAATGAAAAATCAAATGAAAGACTTTTTATAATAAAACCAGTGAGCGGAGCAGTATAGTCGGGGCCGACCATATGATACCCTACACAACTACCAGGGAACTCAAATTTTCTGCGGATGTTTATTCCGAGCCTGGGCAATATTTCGTGATATTTGCACCCTCGTGCCTGATTAGAGGTAAACAGCACCTCTTCCTCACACTGACATATTTTCCGAATATTACGAGTATTCAGTACAGCTATTGTCCAAATTCCCTTCACCGTGGGTTGTGTTGTGATGTTCGGCTTTCATTTGTGGTCTATAGATCGACTCGAAAATAACACAAAAAATTAAGTTTTCGGTCCACTTCATTCCAAAATTATTATCTGATCATCACCGAAAAGTATAGGCTTTGTCCTTGACCATACCTTGAACCTCTTGGAACATTTCAAAGCGATCAGCGCTATAGTTCCCCTCTCTAGAGTGATAATGGTTTACTAAATAATATACGAATACGGAGATACCTGTAAATATTTAGGTGTAACTCCCACATCCGAGCACATACAACAATATAATTGGTCTTAATTTAAAGGTCAACCACTACTCTTGGATATAATATCAACTTCTCGGGTCTGTGTCCTTCAGTGGTAAATATATATGCTATAGAATACAATTTTTGTAATTTTTCACACAAAAGTCAGGGTCAATTTGACCCGCTAAATATTGACCGATCGTTATCAAAACAGGCATGCTTATTCTTTAGCCCGATCTCCTTCTCCGTGCAAACTGTCACGATGTTCGGGCCAATATTGCGGCCTTTGGAGCGACCAGAAAAAACGAAAAAAAAATAGTATTTGGTCTATGTCATCCCCTATATATTAACCGATCTTTCCCAAAAACAATAGGGGTCTTCATTGGCCAGGACCCATCCTACATGCAAAATTTCGTGAAAATTGGTCCATAACTGTGACCTGTATCGTGTTTACAAATTATAATGGACGGACGGACACACATGTCTAGATCGACTCAGCTAGTCGAGATATGACGATCGGTATACTTAAAGGTGGGCCTAGGACCAATATTTCGCGGCGTTACAAACTTTTGGGGCTACACAAAGCTATAATACCCTGACAACATAATTGTGTAGGGTATAAATATCCCGGAGAGTCAAATTACAGCTACTTCATAATGCTAAAATATCAAAATACCCATAGAGGGACTAGACCTTTATATGGGACCTAACAAGGGATCCATATTTACAATATTTGATAAGAAATTTTCTAATACTTACCATATAGGCACCACTCGGCCACCAGCACCTTCAACAAATTTCACATATGACGCCGCAATATAACTGGAAAATGTACTATTCGGATAATTGCGTAAAACAAATTGTGACACTTCCTGTGACAAAATCCCCACAATCGGTGTCGCATTCTCATTGTCCAAATTTACCAATGGACTGTCATTAATATCCCGATTTGTGTATTTAATTAAACGGCCGGTGATCAAGGTCGGCAGCAGCGATATGCAGACAAAGAAAAGTCCCCAATAGCGGCACGTAGACATAAGGGTTTTGCTACCGCGCGTGTCCATTGCTGTCGGTGAACGGAAAATTGTGTGATCAGGTGGCAAACTAAACAACTACTAAAACACGACAAAATTTTACACAACACTCCAATAGAGGTACTCTTAACAAAAAAACACAACAACAACAAAAAATCGAAATAACGAAAAAAAACAGATAACAGATACAAAATATTATGCGAATAACCAGCCGGGTCGGCAAATCAATGAGGAGCTTTTAAATTTCTTAAATTACTGCTAGCAAAAGCACTCTTCTGTTCTATAAATCGAATTGTTTGTTTTCATTAAAATCAAAACTAAAGTTGTAAAAATATGTTTGCATGAATGGCTCTGTGAATGTGTGTGTGTAATATTTAAATTGCTTTGCATTTATACTTGTTTTTTAACTAACTAAACGTTGTGCGTCTGTTAAATAGCACATTGCACTCTTGTTTGCTGTTGTTGTCATTTTTGTCTGGTGAAGTACCAGGCACATTAGCTAAATTATCATACATATGAATTCCAAATTTATTTATTTATTTTTAAATAAATAATGAGGCGTATAACACCTTCACTTTTCCTCGCACCCCAAATACAACAAACAGATGGTCAAACCTAGAAAAGAATACCTCCGGCTAGCAGCTAGAGGGGCAAAGACACGCTGTGCACTCCGGACTTCCTTCCTTACAGGCACACAGAAAAGAAATTTGCAACTATCCCAAAATAGTGCCCTACGAAACGAAAAGAGCCTAGCAGGGTCCTATGTCTCCTAACAGACTCCGCGTTTTCGACAGAACTTTGACATGAAATTTAACAAATTTGAATATGTGATCTGGAACCTATGCTAAATTTCATTTCATTCTGAAAAGTTTAGAGTCGTTTGCATACAATTGGACAAATTTATGTAAATCGATTTTATATACATACATAAATTAAATCGCAATCAGATATCCGTTTGTAATATATATGGAAGCTGTGTCTGCATCTCCACCAATTTAAAAAAAGCTATAACGTCATTCTAGTCTCAATTTGATACGTTTCGTGTCGACCTAACCTAACCTATCTAAAATCCAACGAAAATACAAATGGGAGCTATATCTAAATCCGAACCGATTTTCAGTACGATATGCCAAATTTCGCTCAAATCGAAAGATATATAGGAACTTTGGTACATAATTTACATAAAATCGGACGAAACTATATATGGGAGCTATATCTAAACTGAACCGATTTTCACGAAACTTAGCACACACCATTCTAGACTTAATTCAGTACGCTGTGCCAAAATTCGTGCAAATTGAATAATTTCCAGGGACTTTTGTGCACCATTTACATAAAATCGGACGAAAATATATATGGGAGCTATATCTAAATCTGAACCGATTTTCACGAATCTTAGCACACATCATTCTGGAGTTAATTCTGTAGGCTGTGCCAAAATTAGTGCAAATTGAATAATTTCCAGGGATTTTGGTGCACCATTTATTTAAAATCGGACGTCCTTGGGCCAAATAAGTGACTTGTGCCAAATTTCATTCAAGTCCAATTTTAATGGGTCTATCTCGATTCCTTTTGCCAGTTACAAACATATGCACAAAGACATAATACCCTGTACCACAGTGCGGTGAAGGGTATAAATATCTTTAAATATGGCTCTATCAAGGACCTATTAAAGGATCTGAAATTTCTTAAAAACCTCTAAAGAGACTTTAATGGTATCTTCTATTCTTTGTTAGTCTCTGTGTGAAAACTTGCAATGTTTGCTATTTTTTCTTTTTCTTCTATCTTCCCAAGTCCAGTTTTTTTAGGACCAATGACTTGTATTACGTTATCTTTAAAAAATCGGCTACGTATGATGGTCTCTGGGTGGTGCGAACTCCATCTTCATTATGGTCTCATCTTGAACAGATCGATTCGTTTTGTGAATATTGATTTAAAAGCAAAAAACTGCTACAGCACAAACAACCGAATACCTGTTTCCACGTCAGAGGGGTCTCCGATCTGAAACAACCCGACTATCACTCGGCCAACGTCTGTCACCTCAGTAGATTGTGTAAAATCAGTAGGGCTGCTACAACAACAACGAAGGTGTTAGGTGTTTTAACCCCGATTAGGAGCTTGGAAATTTCTTCAGTCAATACTTATTGGATGTTTGCAATAATTCTGAACAAGGATCTCAACTTGTTATGACTTTTATCCTCTTAAATTTTTCTTGGTTAGAATTTCGTATTGGATAACAGAATTTCTAGCAAAAATATAATTCAAGGAAATTTCATTTGACATTTTTTGCCGGTCATCGTTTATTTGATTTGATGTTTTAATTTCTTCGTAAATAGGTTTGTCTTTCGATAAGAAGCTGGGTCTCTCTAAAAATATAATTCAAGAAATTAGATGTATGATCTAGAATAACCAGTAGTTTACTCAAAGACGCAAATGTCTCATTATTAATACTTTTTTTTTTTTTTTGACACACTTTAAAATCGCCAACAAGATGTAAGCAAATATTTAGTGGATGTACGTCTATAGAAGATTTTCTCACCTTCATTACGCTGACACATAGACCATGAAGTACATTACTGACACCATCCATCCAACTATTGGCTGGATGGCTGACTTGACTGGTAGGCAGCTAGGCTTTGCATATCAATTACATTTTGACAGTAATACAGAAGGGCAGGCGCCAGTCTCGAGGTCAAGCAAGAAGTCTCTTTTTTGGCTATGGCGATATGCTATGAAAACAACAACAAGATAAAATGGTCACTGGCCATACTTGAGAGTCACAACTGGGTCATTCGCAAATTAGAAAAAAAATATGATTTAGTTTTATTTGAAAACAAATGCGTATGACTATAAATTGCAACGTCGCAGATCTATGCCATATCATAAACCATCCAACTCTCGATAAAGCTACAGCAGCATCTGACGAAACACAAAAACCGAACCCAAGGATCATAAGCTAAAAACGGAAATCATGAAAATCATAATTGTTTGTGTCATCATTACGATAGTGACAGCATCACGTAATCATTTCCCATCACATTTGATTACTTTGAATGCGGATATCCCTCAGTCAGGACTTGGACTTGATCAGCATCTAAATGGATTTTATACAATTATACATAATGCTGCTGATAGTACACCAACAGCAGCGTCCGCAGAAATGGAACCACAATTGAATGGCGATGAAATTGCAAATGGATTACAGAAACAACAACAAGAACAATCGCTTGCGGACAACAGCAACAATGACAATGGAGAACAAATGGAGAGCAGCACCATGGAAAGTGTTATTGATTTGAATCGGGCACCCGAACCAGTCACCGATACACCCGAAGTTGAACAGGCCAGACAGGCACATTTTGAGGCATATCGTGAAGCAGCCCTGATGGCTGCCTTGGCACCGGATACTGATGAGACCAATGGAAATGGTTCATCGGAAAATGAACTATCAAATTCGCTACCATTGGATGAGTTGCAACAGAATACCCGGGAATTGTTGATTAACAAACAGAAATCAAGAAAACAATTGTCGGCACCCAGAAGATCTTCCTCCTCTTCTGAATTGGAAAGAGTTGGACAGGAAATTGGCCATCAACAACAGCAACAACTGATAACAACATATATTCTAACTGCCAAAGCTGAGGCTCATGCCCTGGGATCGGGAGCTGCTAGTGGTGAATTGAGAAATGCTGGTGATTTGAGTGGTAATGATGGAAATGGAATTGGTCGTAATGGTAATGGAAAAGAAAATGGCAAGGGAAATGGTCGTGGTAGTAGCAATGGAAATGGTCGTGTTAGTAGCAATGGAAATGGTCACAGCAATGGAAATGGTCACAATAATGGCAATGGAAAAGTCAACGGCAATGGACAAACTAATGGTAATGGCAAATTAAATGGCAATGGAAATGGTAAATCCAATGGCAATACCTTAAATGGAAAACTAAATGGCAACGCCAATGGCAATGGAAATCTCAACGCCAATGGTAATGGAAACGGCAAATCAAATGGCAATGGCCACGCCTCCGGCTTGAACATTAACACTAATGGACATTCAATTCTAAATGGTAATATTGGTCTAAACAATGCTCTAGATAATGGCATTCTACACTCTCTGACCTTAGATGAACCATTGACACTACCCAATACGGCAAATATTGATACAACCTATTATACCGTTGATACACCAGATACCCACTACACCGTTGTCATACCACCACCATCTTTATTAACTACTCTGCCACAATTAGAAGCCATTCGTCTGGGAGATCATGGCAGTGATGCTATCGGCATACCGCTATCGAAAAGTTTCACCTATATAACACAACGTCTAAAATCTCCTCATGCCTAAGATGGCTTATTTGATTTTAATGCAATGATTCTACCCCGTTATTTTTCGTTGTGACAGTATTAACAATTTTTTTTACTAAAGAAATCGAAGACCTAATACACATATTATTATATTACTATTTAGAATTATTAACTAAACTCGATATATAAAAGAGATTATGTTTTATAAAAACAGAAAAATGTCGAAGAAAAAAATAATAAATATTAATTTGCATTTTATAAAAATACCAAAAATTTCAAAAGTATTTTTACCAAGATTTAAGAAAAGATAAGAACATAGCCAGGTTATATTTTGGAAAGCTATGAATGATTATGGGATCTATTTCGTCCATCTATTGGTACAAAATTGGATTACAAATTTTCGAATAAACACTTGTCCCCAAAGTAAATCCAAACACTGAATTTGAATTCCCATTCCACTCAAATTCGTAACGGTTTTACATTTGCATAAAGATTTTTTTCTAATTTTTAATATTTATTAATGTCACCGACTATATATGGGAATCCCTTTTTGTTATTGTAACAAAGCATTTAATTTGATTACACTTCTCACATACACCTTCATAAAACTCCCTCCTCCAATTTGTTTTTGTTATCAAACGTCACACATACAAACAGAGTGCAATGGCAAAAGCAACAACAGACGTACTTACCTATCAACTTGGCAAACAAATAATCATACAATTGTTATTGTAACGGAATTGTTTATCCTAAAAAAATTCCTGGCAAACGGGGTGTTATTTTTGAATAGAACAAATTTTTATACACGTGAAAATAGTTTCGTTGTTTCTTTTTCCTGATATAGATAGAAAACACACTGCCCGATTAAAATCGCAACAAAATCAAACAGATACTTTGCAGCCGAAAACAAGTACAATGCAAATATTTGACATACAAATACAAACAACAACAAATTATAGCGGGAAAAAAGAGTAAGAGAGCAAACGATTCAATTTGCCTTTGACATACTACAGAACAGCTGATTTCTCTCTTATCAGCAAGGCAAGTCATGCAGTTGGTTGTTGGTGGCCTAACACAAACATATGTTGATAAATAAAAACATTTTAAAGATTTAAATTGTATAATTTGAGATGTTTAGGTTGACCAAAAGGTACTTTATGGACTCCTCTTCGAAAATTTTGAAAAAATATGTGGTTGTTATCAGTATTAAAAGCACTATCTGCAGTAACAAATTCTAATGTTTCGGTGTGGTGTTCTTAAAGATATTTAATAAAATATGGGGGTATTTTTGGAATTTTAGAGCCCCATATCTCAAGAAGTGTTGACATTCTATTACCTTCAAGTTAATTAAACAAGTTTTTCAAATGTTGATCCTACCTCAGTACCATAAGAACGGAGTGCACCGATGATTCCTATCTTCGAACTTAATCCAGGTTTGGTAAGAGTATTAGGATTTGGAATGTATGGATTATTGTGTTTTTATATTGTTATGATCATCGTTCGGAGATATGATATTAATACTTAGAAACGGGAAAAAAGCTCCAGTCATTTCTTATTCCGAGCAAGTTAGATTTATGGAGTCAGCTCATTGAAAGCCTGTAATTGATAAATGCATATCACATATGCATATACCTAAAATGGAATGAGTATTTTATATGGAGGGATAGCAAAACATTGCCCTGTATTAAAAATTGTCGCTAAGCGTTTCCTATTTTTTCTTAAAACCTGAAATGTTAAAGCTTTCGAAATACAGAATATGGGCTGGGCACTGTATTAAAACATGTTCTGCTAGGATAATTTTATTTTTTAATCGGGAAAACAAATTACTGAAACTCAGGTTGGAAAATGCACCTAGGACCTTCAAAATACCTGAAATGGGGACATGTCAAAACATGGAACAAATGGGAGGATGTCGTAAGCCATTATATAGACGCTGTACCAAAACCTACAGCGATATGTCCTAATTTCAGTACCAACATGTTATGTAAACATCCAAAGGAATTTTTCTCTGAACAAAAATTAACTTAAGGTATTACAAATGTAATTACAAACTTACACTCTTAATTTTTTCAAATACGAATCAAATGCCTCAATACCCCAGTAGAAAATACTATCTTGCGTGACAATTTCGTTGACGAAATTTATGGAATTGTCATTCATGACTAAACACATGATATGTCGTCGAAAATGTCCTTCTTCTCGAAATATGAAAACAAAAATAGTCTAAATCGAGTGTACAATGAAATATTGACAGAAACAAATATAAATTTCTTTCTGAAAATATTTATAAGAAATTTAGGATAAACGAAACTTGTTTTCTTGTTTAAAATAGGTAAGTTTAACTGAATATATAATTATGTAAATTTATTGTTTTACTCTTAGGATTCGGCAAATAAATGGTAATTGATGAAATATTGTAAGTAATATCTGAAATATGTTTCATATTTCAATGTATTTTAATTTTGTTGTTTCTTTACAAATGATATTAAAATGCAGATAATCATTACGCCAACTTATCAGGCAGTGTCCTTATTTATATTATATGATATTATGTAAATATAAGGTATGTTTTTGTAATATAATAAATTTCATGGTATAAAAAATATAAACGAAAAATATGTATATAATGGGGTAGGATTGATGACAATAGGTATACAGTCTGTACAAACGACAGGGTAAGTGATTCTCCGTTAACGAAAAGTAGGGGGTTTAGTCGCCGAAGCTGTCGTCAACGACAATATCGCTTACCCTGTCGCCCAAGTTGTCGTGCATGAATACTGCGACACTTGTGTGAAAATTTCGTCAACGATTTCACATTATTGTCTGCAAAGTGCCTTCAAGGAATTGCCATTGTCTTACACGATTCGTTAATGTTGTTTGCAAGACACTTTCTACTAGGCAACAAAGAGTACAACGTTTCTTTTTATGTATAAAGTATTTTTATACAATTTTATATTTTTAATATATAGGATTTTGTTCATTTTACATATTAAATTAGATATTGTACAATAAGATCATTTTAGTAAAATTGAATACTTTTTCAAAACTCAACTGCCCATTAACGATTGCAATTTATTTTTAATTGTTTTTTGTATGCTCAGTAGATATTTCATTTCTACCATTACACCGGTTGCTTCATCCAAATTATTATCCGCAAAATGTTTACTCAGGAATTTGACTTTCTCGTCCAGTTCTTGTGTTAAACTTTCATGAATGGCTTCCAGTTCTTGTTTTGTTGTTGCCTCATCAACTTCTTCGTTACGTTCCATCATTTCCATAAGGAATTCTTTATTTAAAGCGCTATTATCTTGAGGTATTTCACGACCATTCAATTTTAACAGATATTGGCCACGTTCAATGGGAACTAGTAGAGTTTTATAGGCCTTATTTATCAAGGAACTCCAATCCGCTGAATTCGATTGTTCACGTGATGTTCTATAGACAAAAATATAAATTTGATTAGGTATTTTTACAATTTAAAATAACATTATCTCACTTGTTGGTAAACTTATCGGGATGAACCAATGATTGAAGTTGGCGGAAACGTTTGGTCAACATTGAAGCTTCCAGGGCAAATGTTTGTGGGAAATCCATTAATTCAAAATAATTCTAAAAAACGCAAAAACAATTAATTTCATAAAATAAATTCTGTATTAACATTGAATATATTATCTTTATTACCACTTCTGCATTGACATCCTGCAAATGATTACAATGTTTACACAACATTTTGTCGGAGGACTCTTTTAGGCAGTTCCAACATTTACCAGCCGATGGCAAAGTATCTGGCACATATCCACGTTTTTGCTGATTTGATAGATAGACTGTACTTGTCTCCCATTCCAATTGATGTTTTGGTAATGTTGCTCTTAGGGCGGCCGTAGTAACAAATCCACGACATGATGTAAAGCCGACATCATTCGACTTTTTCACTTGTGTAAAACAAATCCTTGCTACTCTTCTCATCTTTGTGCAAAATTTTTATTGTTATCACTTGGTTGGTAGTAGGAAGAAATTCTTAAAATTCTGTTTGTTATCGTGGATGCGATTGGCTTTGTTATCTAATGAAACCAACAACAACAAAGATAATAATAAAAACATGAACAGCTGATTTTAAGTTCAAGTGAAGTGATGACACTGATTAAAGTGAAGAAGAAGAACAATCTAATTTATAAGTGTGACCTATTATAATTGTGTTATTTTTGATAGAAAAAGTCTGAAACCAAACAAGGTGCCAGTTCCATAGCGCATACATCAAAATAATTATGACTTGGGTGTTTTCTATCCCGTCAACTTGGGTTTTTTCTATCCCGGCAAGTCTTCAAAATACGCAATCCATGGTGTAATGTCACTATTATGACAGGAAAAGCGTGCACATACATGTATTTGTGTATTTTGTCGACGCCGGAACTTTCTTACTTATGGTGTTTTTACACGATATGTATTTTACATATGTGCTGTCACTTATTTCATCCATATGTAATTCCTTATGTGTGTCAAAATTAGCAGTGTACACAAAACATTTATTTTTGTGTTCAAATCGGCATATGTATTTTACATATGACATAACCTATAAACAAAAAACACTTTTATTTTTTATTAACTCAACATATTAAACACCTACTAACGAAATAATAATTTGTAATTGTTGCCTTTTCATCCTTTTTTTTGAATTTCAATTGAAATATTTTCTTCCAACAATGTGTTTCATTCGAACAGCTGATTTCCTTATGTTTCACATACGAAAATAGAGCGCGTCCTATTCGGAAAAAAATACATATGTAATTGCATATCGTTTTGACACATTGAAATTTCCGTATGTTTCACATGACGAGTTCAATTTCCATATGTAAAAAAGTGACAGCACATATGTAAAATACATATCGTGTAGAAACACCATTAGCTGGCTTAAAAAATATCTCCCATCCAATTTCAAAGACCATATTTCGAGATGTTGTCTTCTACTTGATCTTTCCATCGGACGCCGTTATCCTTTATTCTTTTACAATAAAATAAGTCAACTTAACATGCTTTTCCCCCTTTAGTGAACTAAACAAAATAGAATGTTATAAAATGTGTTCAAATATTTCACGTGTTTATTTAAAAATTTGTATTTTTTCTATGTTTTGTTCCTATTTTCAAAAAAGAGTAGCAATTTTCTGTCATAGTTAAATTTTCTCAACTTTGAAAATTCGTACGTCGACGTATTTAGGTAACATTCCTATCGGAAGAGCTAGTCGAAATTTAGGTAGGGCTTATTTGTTTTTTTTTTTTCGTTCACATCCATAATAGTTCCGTTCCAGAACCTAAAAGAATCTACATATTTTAAAAATTTTGCCACTTTTTACTCGAAAACCGTTCCTTAACCCACAAAACTGGTAAAACATTGAATCAAATTTAAGAGAGCACAAAACAAAATGACGTTCTCTTTGTAAACTTTTTACTCGAGAAATTTGGCCGAGTAAAAATGGTAAACAGGAATGCCTTCCTCTGATTGACTGTTATGTTGATTTGGAAGTATTACCATCTAATTTTGACATATTTACTAGATTTCCGTTCCTGAACTTTTCAAATTGTTCTGTACTCTGAGAGCGTTATTGAAATGTTTCCCTTATACTAGCTTTACTATTAAAAAAGTACTGGAACAGACCAAATATATTCTTGTTTACGAGACTACTGTAGATCTTTACTAATTGTAAGCATCCGATTTGACAGCTGTGATGGCAATCCAAAATCGACTTACAAATCCCTAATTTAGACCCGCCTTTTATGAAATGCAAATAAACGAAATTTAAACAAACAATAATTTCAATAATTTTGTAATAAAATGGGTAATATTTATATAATTTGTAGATTATTATCTTTTAAATTACCCTAATTTTGTTTTCATTTAAGATTCGTTACTACTTTCGGAAGAAATTAATCAATTGAAGAAGTTGCGTAAGTAATTTTGGAACAAGCCCAATTCTGGCCCCCTCGCAGATCCTTTTAATTAGAATAGTGTTTGTGTAATTCGGTAAAGATTTAAATTTAAACCCATATTGTCCATATTGCCGTGGTAAATTTTAAAAATCATAAGAAAATACAATGGTCCCAATGGAGCCTAAAAAGGACGTATCCGGATATACTGATTTCCACAATAAAAAGAAATATATACCGCTATAATCAGCACTCCAAGGATTACATGTGGTAAAAATGTCAAAACGATCCGCGGGGGCTCTATACTAGACTAAAGCCGTAATTTTTTTTTACCGCTACTAAAAAAATCCCTCGCACAGGTGAACACTATGAATATCAATTGAAATTAGCGGGTCTGGAAATGTGTGACCTCGACGATAACCTACATTTATTGCTGGATGATTGTGTGGAGTTGCAACGCGTTACCAATATACAAGATTTGACGCTATTGAATCTGAAGTCCTTTTACTATAAAAAGAAAAAGGAACACATTGAAAACGATGTAATAATTGCAAAATTGAAAAACGAAATCCGAAAACAGCAAGAAGAACTGGAAAAGGAACAGGCGGAATGTAATCTTTTGGAAAAGTACAGTAGTCCCTATTAGAATATTGTGTAAAGTTGAGGAAATTAATTTTTGAAAAAAATTTCCTTAGATTTACCACCTCGATTAATAAACGCTTGGTGTCAGAGGCACAAATGCAAACAGCTAAAATGGATATTGAGGCAAATATGCAAAGTCTTCAAGATCGTTTGGTAAGTGTTTTTTAAAGACGCACGAAGAAATAAGATTGCGTTTCTAATTGTTGTTTTGACATTTCAGGATGCATTGGCCATACCAGAAGATTTCAATATTGATGAATTAATCAAAAAAGTTAATTTGTTGCGAAAGGATAAGACTAAGGAAAAATGAAAATGAAGAAAAAATACGCACATTCACAAAATCAATTGTCAGATCTATATAAAATAAATTAATGTATAATTATTGTTTTAAAATTTTTAATATATACGTGTACTTTGTCATAACCATAAATTTTTTAGGTATTTTAAAGGTACATGGAGAGTAAATAAATAGGGGTACAAGAAATAGGGGACAGAAAAGTCCAACCTTTGAATTTGATCTAAGTAATGTAAACATATAACCTCTGTTCTAAGGGCACGTTGTCATGATGGCAAATATTGAATCTTGATGCGGGAATGGTCAACAGTCAAATCGTTAACACGCATTGTGGCAGCATCCTTCTTGCCGTGCACACCCTTCTGGCCCTTGATGGCTTGATTTGGGGGGGTGGGATGTACTAGAGAGAGTGGACCGAGTGTATGTACTAGAGAGAGTAGACCGATAATTCCCATCTTACAACATTACAAGGCATGGTTGAAGTATTAGGTTGTGCAGGGTTTGTTTGATTCAAATCGGATAGACTTTTCGCATGATATAACATTAATTTTTAGCAATGACCATTTTAGGTAGAAGGTTCCAGGAGTGGACCAATGGTTCCCATCTTCGAACTTGATTTCAGTGTCAAAGGAATTTTACGATGCGCGTATTTTATATTAAATTGAACGTTCCATGCGATTGTTATTGGATAAACAGATTTTAGCAATTCTGACGCTTCCTGAGAGGTGTGCCAGATGAATTGGAACGAACTTGATTTAGTGTTGATAAAAATACGATGATGTCCAGAGTTTGGGTCAAATCCAGTCGCTTAATATTAAATTTATAAAAATTTTGATACCACCTGGGAAAGCTTCCCCTATGAGTCCCATCTGAGGACCTGATGGGTAAAAATATTACAATGTTTGTATCAAATTGGACACTCCATACGCTTAATTTTGGATTATAAAAATTGAAAATGCTGAGGGGAGGGAGGTACTAGAAGGAATGCACCGATAAGTCCCAACCTCCAATAATATACAGGCTAGGAAAAAATATTAGGTTGCGCAACGTTTGATTCGAATCAGATATTCTGTTCGCATGATATAACAAAATTAATTTTCAGCAATATCTTTACCCTTTTTGTGTGGCAGGTACCAGAAGTAGTGGACCGATAGTTCCCCGCATTCGAACTTGATTTGAGTTTGGAAGAAATATTACGATGTGCAAAGGATGAAATCGGTTACTCCCCTCGAGAGAGTGCGCAGCAGACGGACATTTGTAAATCGACTCCATATTGACTCACAATTACCTACATTAATTCTTCCCTACACCACACATAGAAATAAAAATCCGAGACACAATTTTTTCTTTTCATTATTTTAATTACATCGTGTATTTTTTCCTTGAAATAATTTGTTTTTTTAAAAAATGACAAAATATATAATATGAAATATTTATAATTCTTCTTAATAAAAAAATGTTTATCAAACATCATCATAATCCTCTAAAAATAGAAAAAAAAATTAAAAAACGCAAGGCGATTTCTAAAAAAACAGTTTTTTTTTGTTTTTTGAGGGGGAAGTGCGTGGTGAATGAAAAATACATAACAAGTATTTCACAAAAAGAGGCTCAAAAGTAAAATTTGAAGCTGAAAAATAAGTCGTTCTGTTTTTCATTTTCATTTTTGTTGTTGTTGTTATTTTTTCATTATATTTTAATAATAGTTAACTTGAGAAAGCGGTATATATTATTAATATATTTTGTTTTGTTTTTATTAAATTGAAAAAATGTTTAGTTCCTTGTAATAGATCTACCATTATTAGAATATGTTTTTTTGTTTAATATTTTTTATGTATAAAAAAGGAATTTATCGTTTAAATGTTGTTTTTCTTGTTGTTGTTGTTGATTGATTGCTGAGTTTACATTCTTGTTGGTGTTCATGTTTGTTGTTGTTGTTTTTGTTAGATTTTCTTATTGTATTGGAAGCTTGTTATTTATTTTATTTAAACACGATTAAATATATTAGCTTGCCGTTATAATAATATTGTTTTTGTTGTTTTTTTGTATAGACCTCTACCATATATCTTTTATTTATTTTTCAAATATTTTGCTTCGTCTGAGTTTGAACGGGATGTTGTTTTTGAATATGAATATATAACTGAAGTTTTATATTGTTTATTTTCGTGTACTGTTGTTGTTGTTGTTTTAAAGGGCGGGTATGTGGCAGACAAACATTCAACTTTTGCTAAATGCTCACCAGCAGTAGCACTAGAGCTGCGGACTGGCGGTTGCATGTTTAGCGGCTGAATTCGGGCGCATCATCCTGGGTAATGTCGCCGTATTTCCAGATGGCCAAATGAGCATTCAAGGCAGCTTGTTGGGCAGCTTTGTATTGGTCAATCAATTCGCGCAACTTGCGTTCGCCACGTTTCTCCACCATGACCAAGCCGTCGGATACCAATTGTTTACCAATGTCAATGTTGGTAGTGGGATCGTGGATGGTAGCAAGGGCAGGACCGGAAGATGGTTTCAATTCAACATTGATCTGTACTTTACGATTGAGTACATCTTCGGCGAAGGCACGCAATGCTTCCTCTTTGTCTTCGTTGTCCTGAGGCAGTTGAACCAAAGCTAAGGCGTATTCAGTAGCAAATGGTTTTTCGCTGGTGAAACCAGATGGCAGTGAAGCCAAGCGGGTGAAGGGAACAACCTGAGGAGAAAAGAAGAAATGTATTAGATTTCAGGAAGTCACAACATTTAAGAAGCACACAACAATTCCTTGTGAGGTGAGAGTTGGTATTGTGACAAAATATCCTTTGCATCGTGACTACGATGACCCCTGATTGCCAATTGCGTTTAAGGCGAAATGTCAAACATAGCAGCAGTTTCCAATTGTGTAACTCTAAAAAAATATTAGAGTTTAATCTTCCACCAACCACATGGTGAGACATTTATAATGCCCCTACTAGCAACTATGGCGACAATCAAGTTTAAATTCATTACAAATTTTAGTCAAGCATCAGGATGCGTCGTGTTTACACTAGGATATTTTGCCATAACTTGATCTAGCAAGCTTATGACTCATGCGTTTCTCTTTGAGACGGAAACGGATCTAAGGAGCGTGCCATATATTAATTTGTATATAAGGAGACTCATTATGAAACTTACCTCCTTGTTACCATAATCAATGTACAAAACATGGGCCTTGTTGTCTTGGACACGCTCGACCTTGGCACGATACCATTGATTGTCGGCAGAGAATTGAGCGGCACACAAATCGCCACGTTTGGGTGTATAGGCACCAGCAATTGGAGGATTCGATTGGAAATCAGCATGCAACTTGGCCATCAGGGCATCCAATTTGGAACCACTGGCACACGATTGAGCGTAGAAGGTCAGAGTTTCGGTGATTTCAGTTACAATGACATCTTCCAAGTTGACCTTGCGTTCGACGGGTCCCTTTTCTTCCTTCTCTTCAACGACGGGAGTCTCTTCCACAACTTGTTCAACATAGTTGGCCCAGATGTTCTTCTTGGCAGCCTTGGCACGATCCTCGGCGCTCTTCAATTGGCGGTAGTATTCGGATTTCTCAGCGCTGAAGTGAACTTCAGCCAAACCTTCTTCCACCAAAGCCACAGACAAGTTGGTGTTATTGTCGGTCCAAAGCCAACCAATGACGGAGGTGCCGTTCTTGTCGGTGGTATCGATGTGCACAGAAACGTCACGTTGCAAAATGCGGTCGCGGGTAAATGCCAAAGCTTCATCACCGAAGGGTTCACCTTCTTGGGCGGGAACACCATTCAAAGCGGGGCGTGAAGAACGTGGGCAGGAGATACCAGCCAACAAGAATGTAACCAAACAACTGTCCTTGGGGATGTACAAACGGATGCGGGAACCGCTGGCGACGAATTCAACAATACCCTCTGTTCTAAGGGCACGTTGCCATGATGGCAAATATTGAATCTTGATGCGGGAATGGTCAACAGTCAAATCGTTAACACGCATTGTGGCAGCGTCCTTCTTGCCGTGCATACCCTTCTGGCCCTTGATGGCTTGATTTTCGGCAGCGAACAATTGATCGTAGCACGAAGAGCGTTGGTCATCATCCTGGCGATAACGGACAACGGAAGCCAAACCCTTGGCAACCATGGCTTCGGCAACGTTTTGGCCACTGATCAACACAGTGTAGCAGTATTTTTCGGGGAAATTATCACGGGCAGGTGAAATGTAGTCCAAAACACACTGAACCTTCTTGTTGATCAACTTCTTACGCAAAAATTCACGGGCATCGAACATGAAGGGAATTTCGTACAGTGGTCTGAAATTCTTGGGACGTGGTGGAGCCTTAATTTCTTCACCCTCAGCATTGACCACGGCGCGGGTATCACGTGGTGGACGAATCGAAGAGAAGAACACCTTCTTAATTTGGCCATTGGGCAGTTTGACATTGATGGCATCACCGTTGAATACCTCAACAACAACACCGGTGAAATCTTTTTCCTTGGTATTGAATGTTGGGGCATTGGATTTGTAGTCTTGCCACAGGCACAGACGTTTTTCCTTGGCGATGCGTTCGGCAGCACGAAGTTTATCGGCACCTGTGAACAAAAACAGAACAATTAAATTATTTCAATTTAATAAGTAAAAGAAAAATTCCCAATATAAATGTATATACAAAGCAGCATTAGGTTGAATACATGGACTGGGTTCAGATCCGTCTGAAATTTGATAGATAGGGGGAGTTCTTCATTATTTCCGTAAATGCGGAAATCATACTTAGATCTGAATGTAGCGCCTTTATTCAACTTACAGTGTATATTTGTAGCCGGGGTGAAATGATTTAAAGATCATTGTGATAAGATCTAAAAATCTTGGAGTCCGTCAAAGTTTTATCTAGCATAATTTGCTGCTAATATAAAGTTTTTATAAGTATATGACTCAAAATACTCTATGTAGCAACAAATAATGCAAACAATATGTATAACAATAAACCATTTAATTTAAAATGTAGACAAATTGACTAATGTTTAAGCTATGGATAAAGGTACCGCAAAAACACCTTGATATTGTCTACACATTTAATCTGGCATCATGGTTTCCGAATATAAAAATGGGATCTATCTTATACTCGAGATCAAGACGCCATTGTAAGAAAGAAAAAAATGGAAATGGGGACTTTAAATTACTTAAGGATCGCCTATCACATACGTAAGACATTTGACACTATCAAATGATCTGGTGGTCAGTACCAAATTGTAAATTCTATTAACTCATATTTTCAGATCACTTACCTCCCTTCATTAGGGCCATTGACCAGTCAACACACTTGGCCAAACCTTCACGCAGCAAAGATTCAGCAATATTGCCCTTAGGATGCAGGATGGTACCAATGAAATTGGCATTGTTCACCGACTCCAACACAATTTGCACTTCACGCTGCAAAAGTCGGGTTTCCACAAAGAAACGTGCCTGATCGGCAAAAGCAACCTTAACCTTCAAATCGGGTTTACCATCGGCGTCCAATTTGACACCGGGACAACGGATACCCGAAATCATCAAGGTAACATAATAGAAATCAGGCAACAAGAAGGCACGTACTGTCGAACCATCACGTACATGCTCAATAATGGCTTTCACGGGCTTTCCACCGAACAGTTCAACGATTTGCGATGGATTGTCTTGGGTCCACTTGATTTGACGGACATGATCATTGGGGTTGGCATTTGGTGCCCATTTACCACGACCAGCATGTTTGGCTTGATCTTCCAATTCAATCAGTTTTTGTAAATCTTCTTGTTTTTGGGGTTCTGGTGGACGGCTGTCACGGCGCACGGTCACTAGACCTTCCTTAACCATAGTTTGGACAACATTTTCGCCGCTCTCATCACCCAACCACACGAAACCATATTCGCGATTGGAATTTGGTGGCTTTTCAAAGGAGAAGGTTACCTCCTTGCCAATCAATTTTTGGCGCAAAAATTCGCGGGAATCCCATGCCCAAGGTTCATCCTTGGTTTCATCACCACCGGCACCGGGACGGCGGGCTAGCTTGGGAGCAAGAACATAAGAGAAGGTGATTTGTTTCTCTGGTGGTGGTGTGCCTTTAAGGGCACGAATGACAACTGTATCGCCGGAAAGAACCTGTAAGTAAACGAATAAATAAATTTAATTAATAATTTAAACAATTTTTGTCAATTATAAAATGAAAGTGAAGAAAATTAAACCTACATCAGTTATATGATTAATTGAGTAGAACGAACGGAGGAGAGAAACACGTGTTCACGGTACAATGGTTTATCGGAAAAAGAACCTAATTGTGTGCCATATGTTACAGGGTTGCCTTTTAAAATAGATTAGAATGAAGTTGGTTGCATTTCTCGAAAGGGGAAATCAATTACACACAGAGTTGATTTTGTATTGTAGTATCTGCTCTCTTGTAGAGAACAGCTGACGAGACGAAAGACGTTAAATGTTTGAAATTTGATTTGTATTATGAAAAAAAGCATGGCAAATAGGCATTCTTATGGAAGACCAAAAGTACTCCCCGTAGAATGACAATTGGTATTTTCATAGAAGACTAAAATTATTGTTATGAAAAAAGATTAAAAATTATTTTTTATAAATTAAAAAAAAAAAATATACATATAGAATATCAAGAAGACCAAAATATTTTTTTTGGAACGTTTTATTATCGGAGATCTTTCTTAAAAACGACCTAAAGGCCATATAATAAGTTACAAGGGCTTATAGAATTTACACAAGACTTCTTTGGGAATAGACAATAACTATGAAAAATTCCATTCCATCCATGAATAATAATTTTGATATTCAAGCGTCGGCCATGGTGATGGTGTGGGCCGCCATAACAGTCGCATTAGTCGACCGTTGGATCAGAATAAATGCCGAATATTATCACGAAAATATTCTGGAGGGTGTATTAAAGCCTTGGGCACGCAAACATTTTGGCCGCAGAGCACTCATCACGTGCCACCCAATAATGGTTACAATATGAGGTTCCTCGCTTCATTTCGATCCCACAATGGCCACCAAACATCTCCGGATACCAATCCGTTGGACTATTGTGTCTGGAGTATTTTGAAAAGCAAGGTTGGCACTAAAAAAATACCAAAGTGTCGATCACCTCAAGCAAGCGCTTCGCCGGTAATGGGACAAAATACTGCAGAGCAACATTCGGGAAGAGTGTGACGGTTTCATTGGCCTTTTGAAGGCCAAAGGTGACCAATTCGAAGAAATCTAAACTTATTCATAAATTTGATGCTAATTCTGACTGTTTTTGCTTTCCACCCCCCATTCTCGGTGTCAAATTTTTATTTTTTAAAATTTCAATTTTTTTTTTTTTTAAATTTCAAGTGAACATCTCAAGAACTCTTGAGATCCTGTGAATCTAGTGTTTATGAAGAAAATCGAAAGTCGATCTTGAAAAGTCGTCTTTGCGATTTCGACGTCGACTTTTAGACTTTTCAATACAAAAAGTTGATTAATCAATTAGTCGAAAGACGATTTACTTATCCCTAGTAGGTACCTTTTACACCAAATTGGGTCTTTGGGTCTAAAATAATTTGTTACTTTGTATTGTGTGTAGCTACACTTCTTACATCTACTTAAAATGTTAAGGGTGTAATCATTTCGCCACCAACCGAACTTTTACTTCATCATTTCATTATTGTTGCTTTTCTAAAGCCACAAAAGTAGGTTACCCTCTTGTCGTATTATACAATCAGCAAACAAACTTAACAGGCCTTATTTCAATATTCATTCAAAACAAGTGGTTGTGGGTTGCGATACCAAATAAAAAATGTGGCCTACAGAGTCTTTAAGCCAAAGGGAATAAAGAAAGAAATTATCAAATGGTTTGTTATGTATGTTGCCATGAAATTATTTGGTCAGATAAGGAGAACTGGTTAATTCTTTAAAAATACAAAAACTAGGTAATGGTCTTGTATTAGCTTTTATAAAACACAAACCTTTTTATTCTGATAATAAAAGAAGTAGTAGGAAGTGGCAAATGCATTTAAATACGAAAATTAAATACTTCCTATGGATATATTGAAAACACGATGACGTACTTTTATAACTGTATATAGAGAAAACAACACAGAGTATTAAATTTGTCTAGGCCAACCATTATGAGACATCACGTAGAGTGGCCGACCACAAGTCATTGACATTTGTAGAATCGTTTAATAAAAAACACATGTACATGCATGCATTTTATAAAAGATAAACAATGTATGTGTGTGTGAGTTAAAGATAAAAAAATAAATAAAAATTAACACACATTTCGGTTTAAATAAAATTGGAAATCTGTTTATAAAAATATGCCCTGCATTTGTTGTTGTTGTTATCACTTGTTACCGGTTGTTAGGTAGTTTGTTACAATCAACAAGTGGATGGAATGAATCAATGAATACAGTCAGTAAACCTGTAAAAATACCAACAAACCTAAAGAAAATCAAAGTAAATGTTAAAATAACCAGTCAAACAACTTTTCTATCATGCTGTGATGGTGCGGTCGTTCGGTCTTTAGTACCTTATACCTACCACCAACTCACCAAAGAAAATACGACATGTTGGCATAGCCCAGCTAGGTAGCTAAGATAGTAGATAGGTGGCTGAATTGTATTGTACATGTGCATGCATGATAAGAGCTATCAGCAGCACCAGTCAGTCAATATGATTTGGAAAGGGAGAAGAAATAAAATTAAACAAACAAAAAAGTGTATACGTCCATCTTTTTTGTTGAATTGTTGTTTTTGATTGCATGGTGCATAGTGAAACAAAATTGATGATCTGGCAATTTGGTATTATCGGCTATTGAAAAATATTAACAATTTATAAAGAATTGTTTTAATTTATGTGAGTTTCGTTGTCGGCATGTAGAGAATATAAGGGCTAATTTTAAAATGGAAATTTTTTGTAGGCCAGCATGTAGGGAAGAGTCGGGGCACAGTATCTTATTTAAAAAAAAAATATGTATAAAAAATCCGTTCTATCATCAAATAGAAATTGGGATTCTAAAAATGTAAGGTTAAAGTATTAATCACTTCGAAAGGCAATATATAAGCGTATGAAAAAAGTCGGTCTTAGAGCCTGCTATTCCACTTAAGAATTCGAACACACACAAAATTCTTAAAATGCAACCAGATATTTTATGCATATGGATTTATTTTAAGAACACAGATTATGATTCTAGACAAATAAGTTCAAAATGAAGGATGCGGTTTTATTCAGAGTTCGATTTTTTGTTCGCTTTTAATAGTCAAAAACACTATATAAAATACAATATTTTTTAAACGATTTTCTTTGGTCGGCATAGAAGAATTTAGGATACTGATTTGATTCAATTTTTAAGCACCTTTCGTGGAAATTTGTCTATTCGACAAAAGTTCCTATGCACTACGAAATTAGTACATTTCAGTTTCATTTTTGAAACCCCATCCAAAAATCAGTAGCAAAACGAAATAAATAAATAAAATATACATTTGTGAGAAGTTAGATTTTGCGGGAATTTAAAATGTTATAACATAGGTAGATCCGGCCCTAAGCTACAAATGTCATTTGTGAGAAGTTAGATTTTGCGGGAATTTAAAATGTTATACCTTAGGTAGATCCGGCCCTAAGCTACAAAGGTAATAAACTTCTGAAAACAATTATTTCAGAGTTTGGCAAAGAACAATACAGGGACGGACTATCGCGAAAAAAATGGTTTTACTTTTAAGCAAAGGGCTAATTTCAACACTAATCAACCTGTTATACATTTTATATATAAATTTATTGGATGAGGTAGTATCTATGACCTAAAGTCTGGTGGATAGACTGATAATGTACAGAATATCCAATGTAAAATAGCAAAAGCATCCTTAAAATGTATAAAGGGAGAATACGAAGCCGATAATACATATTCAAAATAATAGAAAGAAATTGAAAACAAAAACCAAACGAAGGCCTATTTAAGGTCGGGCAGTAAGGAAAGCAGAGTATTAAGTTTGCTGTCAAATCATATTTTGAAACCTATACATAATTCGCTTACTGGCCGACATTATATAGGCATTGAACCGAACCAAGCCAATTTGTTTGACAAAGTACTTAAAATATCGAAAATTATAGAGTAAATTATATGAGTGCTACACCAAATATATATAAATGGTGTTGTCTCTGTCAAATATCTGAAGGTTTTGCCTATGACCTACAGCCGAAATTGTTTGTAACGCCTCTGTTTATAACAACATATCGCTTAAAAAGAATGTTCCCAAAAGGTCCGAGAACAGTTCTGTCCTTTATTTTTATCGTTTATAACGACATATCGCTTATAGCGGCCAATATCGCCGGTGCCTTGATCATCGTTATAAACAATTTCGAATGTATTTAATATACACCTTTTGGAGGAGGGTATTAACATGGTGAAACACACAAGTAATTCTAAAAACCCTTTATGTCTGCAGATGATTTTTTTTTTTTTTTTTTTTATTTTTGAAGATAACTAGTTGTTTTTGGCACTAAAAATTTGTGATGAAATTCCGGCAAGTTCGAAGTACACCATTTAGAAATGACCTAGCTTGTCTATATAATTCATCTTATTGAGTGCATAATAATTAGATGGCAAATCCAAAGGTATTAGAAACATATGTTATGGCCACTTGCAAGTTGTCATATCTGCGGATATTAAATAACATTAATATATTTTTTTGCTTACTTAGTTGTTGGATGATTGGAAATACACAAAGTGCCACGAGTTATGTTATTAAAACAATAAGCAAAGGCAAGCAGTCGTAACTGATAAAAAAGATAGCATGATCCAACAAAACTGCCTACAAACACACGTATCGACATATATATGTGGATGGAAATTGGTTGCGCTTTGCTTTTTCTCTCACTGGACGGGCGGGCACATAAACAATAAATCATTGACATGAAAAAGTGAAAGTTTATGATGGAATTTCAAAATATATACCATAGAAATCATAGAAAATATCCTCCTCCATAATTTTAATGTCCTTTGAAATTCCACCAAGAAAAAAATATTAATTTCATAATGCCGCAAAAACAGTTCATTTTCTTCTTCTCCACAGATTTTTTTTGTTTTTGCCTCAAAAAGAATGACAATTTAATTTTTTTCTTTGGAGAGAGCAACCAAGAGATTGCCTCTTGGGAGAAATAAAACAAACACTTGCACACACACATAAACACATTAATAAGCATAAAACGAACAAGACAAAAAGTGAGGTTAATAACTACAATACGCAGGCAGCCCGGCAAACGACACTATTCGAATCGCTGGCGGCGGCGACTGCAAAGTCAACATTCGTTTTTCTCAACAAAATCTGCCAGGTTGGCACTGTATGAAACGAACTTTCATTCAATTGATATATGGTCTAGCGTGTTACTCGCCCATGCCCCAGTATAGTGCTTATTCTTTTCTTTGCGCAGCAGCCGACTTCTCCTGGCCATATCTCTGCTGACGTATGTGTGTGCGTGTGCATGTCTCGTCGTCCGGCCTTTCATTGTCTGCCAGCCTTCTTGTACTTTTTTTGTGACTGACTAAATTTGACAGACTGGTGTGTTGGAATTTAAGTTTTTTTCTTTCTTTCGTTTAGCTTTCTGTCAATTTGCAAATTTTGTAGGCTTAATTTCCTAACACGTAGTCGCCCGTTCATATGTATGACTGCATCATTTTCCCCATGTTTTCGCAAGAACAACTTACCTGTTTAACAATACCCTTCAGTTTCAGGGCAGGAGCAGTGGTTACTGTGGCTGGAGCAGCTGCTGTATTTGTTGTACTCATTTTCGTTTCTTTTTTTGTCTTTTTCAGTTAGTTAGTAGGTGACAATGAATATATTCTGCTTCTGCTGCTGGTGAATCAAACGATGACAAGAGGCGGGGTGCACTTCACTACTTTTCTTGTGACAGAAACACGGTTTTAATGCCTTGCGTCGATATGGAATTTGTTTTGTGTTATTTATTGCTTTGAGCAAACAAATAAACACTAGACCTCGTTGTGTCTTTCTTTCAAAAAAACTAATTAAAAAAAGAAACCCGTTTTTATAAAAGAAATGAAAAATTTCTTTAACTATCCTACCAGTCAAACTTGTGTTCCGCCCGACAAGAAGTTTAATTTCGGTTTGACGCAAACACGACATCGACATTCGTGGAAAACGTATGTGACGTTTGTGTTGTCATATGCAAAAGCTGATGGCTATGACGTTCAACATAAAAAGAGAGTGAGACGACAGTATTGCATAGAGCAGCATAAAACAGAGATGATATGTAGTTTTTTGTTTTGGGATGATACAATGGGACAATTGTATAAATATTTTAAAAAAAAAATAATTAAAAACTTTTTTAGAAGTAAATTAATAGATATTTATTTGCCCAACAAAATCGTAGTTTATTTTTTCTAAAGCAAGGTTCATGCATGTTGTATCGCGTTTAACAATGTCTTTTAAATCAACTCGATTTGTAAACTGAAGCGCTAAATTATAGCTATTTAGACTTAGACTACTAAATCCACTCGATCTCAAATAGCCGCATCGGCCCAGCTGTTGGTGCAAATTAATGTCAAAAATGTTGTTGTAATGTTGAACCAAAAAATTAAAATGAAAATCTCCGAATTTCGAAGAGCTTTTTTGGCAATACTTTTATTAACATTTTCTACAAGAATTTGTGTAAAAAAATCTTGTCAATATGTTTGTTTTGGCAAAATATTTTTGACATATCAAAATACAACAACCGATGTATGTTGTAGAAATTCGCCGATGCGGCTACCTTGTATATCTACCTTGGTGTATACTTCACCTTAATCAAGGTCACAAAGCCAGTGGATTATATTTGACGTTTAAGATCGATTGGATTTCGTAAATCCTAACACGATTTTATACTTGCTCCAGAACTTTCAGGCATCTACTCATTTTACAAGTTTTACATTAAACGAGTACGAAGAAATGATTGTATTCGAATATATGAGGATTTTGGGACCACAATTGCATCACAGGAGTGGTCGTGTTATTGCAAATTGCTTTTGTATTTTGCATACAGTCAGCAAAATATATAAAATTGAGGTGTCATATGGGCTATATCGAATGATGGAATATACGATTGATCGTGGGTATCTTGTTAGGATATAAAAAGAAATTATCATGTACCGGATAGCCGAAATTTATATTTCTGGAACATATTTCACATCTCAGGAAAATGTGAAATTTTACCTTAACGGCATATACATTAGAACTTTTTACCGGGTTAACCTACTTTATGAGGATTTATTTGGCATAAGGTTCGTTCGTTTACTCAATAATTTGTACGAATTTGTACAAATTATTACAAAATGTTGTTCGTTTACCCAAAAGTCCAGTAAAAGAGAGTGAATTGAGAGAGCAGATTTGACAGTTGTGTTACTGAGTATTTGCAAATTCTTACAAGGAAAATTTACTCAGTAAGAATTTTCTTGTACCATCAGCTGATATTTAATCAGCTGTTTTGTTATGTTTTGTAAACAAACAAAAAATTGTTCTCAAGAAAATTGATTGTTTTGTGAATTTTATTTTGATTTTGTATCATTAAATACCAAAATGGATGAAGAAAACGCAAGTATTTAAAAATAAGGTAATACAAGAGTAATTGGCGAACGATTTTTTAGGTTCCAAATCCAAAAAAAGTGTGCATCCCTAACATGTCTGGAACACCATCGGTTATGTCCACCCCAATATCAATTGCAGATACAGGAATAGCAGGTCACAAACTTTTAAATGGTTGTGGGGAACAAACAACATCAATTTTCCGCTTGTTATCCATTTTTCTAATAAAAATGCTGTTTTTTAGTTTGAACCAATTTGTTTGTTGTTTTAATCAGCTGTGTCGAAACAATCTTTTTACTGGATGTTGTTCGTTTACTTTTTGCAGTTTTCTCTCTTGAAAAGGAATAATTCGTATTTACTCTCTGCAAATTCTTACTGAGTAAATATTACTGGGAAAGTAAACGAACGAACCTATATATACAAAGGAATTGACAATTGATACCCACTGGCTTAACGAAATCCGGCTAAATGTAAACGTACTATTAGATAGCCTTTTGTTTCCAGATTACAACAACATAATTTTTTTCGGGGGAAATGTTTATTTCCCGAGATATGAGGTTCCAAAGTTTTAAAAATGGCTCAATTTTGACTATCTTTTATTAAAAATGTTGAATTTTGTGATCAGCTTTTACGTGTTGAGTATCTTTTTATCTCACATTGTTAACGGGTAGACGGCATTTGGGCGGGGATTTATGACTTTCAGATACGCTACGCGACAGAATCTCCTTTAAAATAGAATAGTTTTTAAGGTGGCCGACTTCGGCCGCGGATTTAAGTATTTCTCCTATGCATATAACGGCATATACATTAGAACTTTTTACCGGGTTAACCTACTTTATGAGGATTTATTTGGCATATATACAAAGGAATTGACTATTGATACCCACTGGGTTAACGAAATCCAGTTAAATGTAAACGTACTATTAGATAGCCTTTTATTTCCAGATTACAACAACATAATTTTTTTTGGGGGAAATGTTTACTTCCCGAGATATGAGGTTCCAAAGTTTTAAAAATTTTTTATTAAAAATGTTGCATTTTTTGATCAGCTTTTACGTGTTGAGTACCTTTTTATTTCACATTGTTAACGGGTAGACGGCATTTGGGCGGGGATTTATGACTTTCAGATACGCTACGCGACAGAATCTCCTTTTAAATATAATAGTTTTTAAGGTGGCCGACTTCGGCCGCGGATTTAAGTATTTCTCCTATGCACAGATACCAACATCGACTACGCGGCAGAATCTCCCTTTAAATAGAAGAGTTTTTTTGGTAGCAGTTTTTTTGGCCGGGGATTTAAGACTTCCTCATATGGACAGATACCAACTTGGCTACGTCAAAGAATTTCCTTGTTTTTGTAGGGTTCTAAGACCCATATATTTTTATTCATAACAGATAAAGCAACATATCGCACCATTTTGGAAAGTGCAAAATGTAGTATATAAAGTTGAGTCGGGATTGGTAAGATTTTCCAAAAAAAAAAATCGGGGACCAAACCCCATTTTTTGTACTGTATCTCCCAAACGGTTTAATATATCATATCACCACTCAATGGAAAGACATTTTCATAAGCTTTAAAATGATACCCATTTTGTATTAATCGGTTCCGGATATAACCGGGTGACCGTACCCGAACTTCCACAAGAAAACATATATCACTATAATAAGGGTAAAAATACCTACCTCTGTAAAAAAATCTTATCGTTTGTACTAAATTAGAGTTAAGCCCAAAATAGGTTGATTTTCCAATTTTGGAGCCCCATATTCTGGGAAGTATACATTTCCCCAAAAAAAGAAATATGTTATAGTGATCAGGATACTAAGTGAATGGTGAAAATTTCAGATTTTTCTGAGAGGTGACCTTAAAGGAAATATAATCCCTGTATTGCAGAGTTGCTCACGATAGCAACATTTTCATAGCATTTAGTGCCTTTTTTCACAACTATGTTTCGAGTAACGGTTTCTAACAAGAGGAAGCCATTTCTTGCGGCGAGAAAGTGCAACAAGTTATATTTAATAAATTTGAGATCGTGTTCATTTTAAGTAAAAATTTGTTTAAAATATAATTTTATTATATATCTGTGTGTTTCAAAAAAGTGTCATATATAATTGTCGAACAATTTCATATATTTTGCTCGAGTCTGTTAATTAATTTCGGTACGAAGTCGTTGCGAATAGCGAGTATAACAAGTTGACGTTGAAAATGTTTCGCGAATCCTCGGGTCCTAAAACCTTATAAAACGAAATTTTAATAATTTTATTACGAAGTTTGTGTCTGTGTGAAATTAGTTCGTAATTATTCCTTCGGGTTAACATTCATGTCGATTTGTGTTTTTTCTCCGCTCGTGTCTTGTGAATTTCTAACCCGCTTTTCTTTTATACAATCCTCTAGAAAATATTAAAAAAACGGTGAAAATTTGTAATTGAAATAAATAAAAAAATAATTGCAGTGCCTATTAGTGAATGCAGGATTTTATTATTGACCCCCTTCCGGCAGATGTGGCAATATTTTCAACCGCGCAAAATTCAAGCATCTAAGTGAAAAATTGGAAAATAAAAAAATATATCTTGTGTTTTTCGAAGAAAATACATTCTGACATGGCAACCAATATTACTACACCTTGATTACTATAAAAAAATATATGGTAAGTTAAAAACAACTTGAATTTTGGGTGGTATATAGTATCGTAATGACATGTGACAGGTACAAAGATCTGTTGTCACTATATTCAGACCAATTGATATTTATAAAAACACCGTGTATACAGACCAATTGGTCTTTATAACAGCATATGGTATCTATGCAGAACATATAGGGTTGTTAAAGACATATAGTATCCATACCGACCAATTGGTCTTAATAAAGACCTGTAGAATATGTGGACTATAGACCAATTGGTTTCAATAAAGACATGCAGTCTATACATATCCCAATAAAGACATATTATTCTATACAGGCCGATTGGTCTATACAAAGACTCTGTGGTTTCTATACAGACCAACTGCTCTTTATAAAGAACCTGTAGAATCTACACTAGTCAATTGGTCTTTATAAAGACCAGTGGAATTTCATAATAATTGTTTCTGCTTTTTAATATTGCTCCCCGTTACTAAACAATATATGAAACAACCATATTTTTTTACAAATTTTTATTATTAAAAAAAATTACAAAAATGCTATAAATGCTCAAACTTTCTTAAACACCACCGAAGTAACAACACTCCCCACTTTACCGCCAAATTTAAAAGACGGTGTTGGTATTGTACATTTCTTCAGAAATTTTCCACTAAAGCTTGCAATCAACTCCTCCTCTGTCCAATTACACGAGGTAATTATAAATAAACTATTTTCATCCATCATATTCTGTACGGACTGCATATATAGTTCTCGTTTCTCTTTGGGATTGTCGGGACACAAACTAATGGCATCATATGTTCCCTTGTCATGGACAATACCAAATATTCCCAGCGTTTTACACGATTCCACATTCATTAAATCGGCAACTTTATACTCGATTGCCAATTCTTGATCTCTGGCTATATTTTCGGCCAACTCCACCGCCTTTGGTGAGTAGTCAACTCCCATCAGATTTGTATATCCTTCACGTGCCAATTCGATCAGCAGCATTCCATTGCCGCATCCCAAATCAATGACACGAACATTATCCGGAATATCATCCTGTTTCATAATCCAATTGATGACACGTAATTGGGAGTCTTCATCGAACCAAATTTCTCCAACATCGCCATGATTTTTATAATTGCTTATTTCACGTTCGTACGCCTTTTCCCAATAATCCTTGGTTCCCAATTCACTGCCATTCAGCTCTTCCACAGACATGTTGTCTTTCTGACTACACAGCTGTTTGTTGTTTACAAGTGTTCCTTAGGATTGAACGTAAGACGCCAATGTGCTTTAGGTTTTCACAGAGATTAGCTTTTGAATAAATTGTCTTCTATACATTTAGGAAAAACAGTTTAAATGCCAATATGACGAAGGCAACACTAAAGTGATTTCATGAAAAAATTACAGGAAATTTTGAGTTCTTAAATCGAGTACCTCAGTTGAAGATTGTTTTAAAATGATCATGTAAATTATTTCATAAAATTACTTTAGTGTGGACAGGGATAATGAAAAGTGAATATGTTCTCAATAAGGTTGAAAAATTTGCCGTAAAAGTCATATATTTCTGATTGGAATACTTGCTGCATTCCGTGATCTTGATCTTGTAACAAATTTCTTCGATGATAATTTTTAATGTATGTATGCTAGGAAGGGGGACAATATGAGAGTTGGGATTTGTGGCGCATCCAAAATGGTGCATACACCAGAATGCATATGTTGGCATAACCAATAAAATGATAGGAAGGACATTTCGAGATATCAAAAACAAAGTGGCAAAATTCATTTATCCTCCGTCTAGTGAAATTTTAGTATACAAAGTTTTGGTGAAGGTCAATTTCGATTTTTCCTTTTCAGAGTATTTAATCCCTAAAAATAGGCTACATATTTTCAATAAATTTAATTTTTTTTTCACACGAGTGCCATCTACATGTGACTAAAATTTATCATTTCACTCCCACATAATACGTAAACAATTCTGTTCACATTTAGTCTCCATCCCACCTCATACGTAAATTTTCTTCTTTATCGGCCATTTCGTCTTCTCGTTCCATCCGTTAGCAGGTGGAACATTTTTCCATCTTTTCTTTAGTCGTTGATAAAGTCTCTGAAAAACATTCACACTAGATTCTTCCAGTACGGGAACAGGCAAATAATTAACCAAGTATTTATGAAGAAAAACGAAAGCTGGACTTGAAAAGTTGACTTTTTGATTTCTTCAAAGATCAAAAGCCGAATTCGACTTTTATACTCATCAATACAAAAAGTCGATTAATCGATTAGTCGAAAATCGATTTACTTCTCCCTATTTTCAACTGCTTCGTTTTTTGGCTATATATTTTGCAAATATTTTATTGTGGATACTTTTAATTTGTTTGTGTTCTTAAGCTGCCATTTTTAACAAACAAAAAATTAACAACAAAATATATTCCTTCAACCGATTTACACAATTCCGCAAAAGCATTGAAGATAAAAAACAACAAACATAGATTGTCGGCAATTAAAGGGAATTGCATTTAAACTAAAAAATGACACCACCAAGAAACCACAATTCAAGGGGTCCAGCGGGTGGTGGAAGCGGTGGTAATCGGGGTGGTGGCAGTGGCGGTGGAGGTGGCAATAGATTTGGACGTGGACAACAAGGAAATGCTGGTGGAGCTGGCAGAAATATACGTACCGGAAGAGTTGAGCGTAGAGGACGCAATGGACCTGGTGGTGGCGGACCACAAGGAGGAGGTCGAGGCGGACGATTTGGCAATGGTGGTGGCGGCGTTGGTGGTAGTGGTAAATACGAAGGGGATTTTGCCAGTAAGTTGACACGTCTTCAACCAACTCTGCAAATGATTTGCCTAATGCAATTTCCCTAAATAGGTCTAACCGACATCAATTGGGGTCAATTTAATTTGCCTCCTTTTCAAAAGGATTTCTATAAGGAACATCCCATAACTAGAGGACGCTCCCAGCAGGAAGTTCAACGTTATAGGGCGGAAAATGAAATTACAGTGCGTGGACCGGCTCCGAACCCCATCATATATTTCGATGAAGCTTGTTTTCCAGATTATTGCATGAATGAAATTCGCCGGCAGCGTTATACCCAACCAACTCCCATACAGGCACAATCATGGCCCATTGCAATGAGCGGCAAAAATCTTGTGGGCATTGCCATGACTGGTTCTGGCAAAACATTGGCATTTATATTGCCCGCCATTGTCCATATAAATCATCAGCCCCCGATACAGCGTGGTGATGGTCCCATAGCATTGGTATTGGCCCCCACACGAGAGCTGGCTCAACAAATACAAACGGTGGCAAATGATTTCGGCTCAAGCGTTCATGTCCGCAATACCTGTGTTTATGGTGGATCATCGAAAACGAGACAAATGCAAGATTTGCAAAATGGTGTCGAAATGGTTATTGCCACACCGGGACGGCTGTTGGATTTCTTATCGACCGGTACCACAAACATGAGACGTTGCACATATTTGGTATTGGATGAGGCGGATCGTATGTTGGATATGGGTTTCGAACCACAAATACGTAAAATAATGGGACAAATTCGGCCCGATCGTCAGATACTTATGTGGAGTGCAACATGGCCCAAGGAAGTGCGACAGTTAGCAGAAGATTTCTTAGGAAATAATTATATACAAGTAGGTGGCGGGGATGAGAACGAGGGGGAAGGATATTTTATATATCCTACATAATTCTGTGCTAAAACTGGAAATAGGCTAATTTTGCTAATTTTGAAGATTTTTCAAAAGAAATGCCAGAATTAGACTTTTTAGACTTTTTAAGGATTAGCGCAGTAATTATTCGTGGGGTTTTAGGATTGTTGTTGTAGATGAACACTGAAATAGCTGTGTATTTTCTAGGACTGTTGTTGTATTGTTGTTCTAGGATTGTTGTTGTAGATGAACACTGAAATAGCTGTGTATTTTGATATGATGATTTCAACGATTGTTTAAAGATTATATTTGTATACCCTACACAAATATTTTGTCAGGGTATTATAGTTTTGTGCAGCTCAAAGAGTTTGTAACGCCGCGAAATATTGGTTCTAGATCCACCTTTAAGTATACCAATATACGGTCTAGTTGAGGCGATATAGACATGCGTGTCCGTCCGGCTGTACATTATAGTTCGTAAACACGATACAGGCCACAGTTATGGAAGTTCACGAAATTTTGCAGGCAGGATGTGCTCTGGCCAATAAAGACCCCTATTGTTTTTGGTAAAGATCGATTAATATTTAAGGGATGAAATGGACCAAATACTTAATTGTTGTCGGGTTTTGTGGTCGCTCAGGAGGCCGCAATTATGGCCCGAACATGGAGAAGGGGATAGGTTCAAAGAATAAGCATGCCTTCGGTCAATATTTAGCGGGTCAAATGGACCCTGACTCCTGAAGGACATAGACCCGAGAAGTTGATAGTATATCCAAGAGGAGTGGTAAATCTTTAAATTTATACCAGTTATATTGTTGTATGTACTCGGATGTTGGAGTTATAGGTAAATATTTAATTGAGTCTATGTGTTATGATATTATTTAGTATAACTATAACCCTACTAGAGAGCGGAATTGTCGCGCTGATCGCTTTGAAATTTTACATGAAGTTCCGTTTATGGTCAAGGACGACGCCTATAATTTTCAATGATGATGAAATAATATTTAAGGGATGCAATAAACAGAAAACTTTATTTTTTTTTGTCAGATTTTCTAGTCGCTTTAGAGCCCATTATTATATCACATATTGCATACGGTCAAATCAACCAAAACCTAAAGTGACCAAATGTTTATTTAATGGCTTAAATATTCGCCTCGCCACACTGTGCTACAGTTCATTTATTTGGCCTAGGGACGAACCCTATTGAAATTGGGAAAAATCGGTTTAGATTTAGATATATCTCCCATATATATTTTCATCCGGTTTTTAGCAAATGGTGCACCAAAGAGTCAAATTTAGTTCGATTGGCACAACATTTTGCACAAATTTTTGAAATCGGTTCAGCTTTAGATATATGTCCCATGTATATGTTCGTCTGATTTTTAGCAAATTGTGCTCCAAAGAATTAAAGGGTGCACTAAATAATGAACTGATGATTGTGGATGAACTGGAGATTATATCTTCAACAGCAATCTGTGTTGTAGCAGCATGAATATTTTGATTTAAATCGATTTACATAATTTTCTAAACGATTCGAAATCTGCCCTAATTATATGTACTTTGGCATCGCTTCCCGAGAACATGTGTGTGGATTGATGTACCAAAGATTTGTACCAATTTTCACCGAATTTGCTTGAAAAGCACTCTCAATAACCCCCTTCGATACCCAATAAGAACCTATTGTACCAAATTTAAGAACGCAAAGTTGGGGGTAACCTTATATGCCTATGTGTGGACCGATATAGCTCATCTTTGAACTTGGCCTATCTTCAGACAAAAGACAACTCTATGTTGTCGTTTAGAGGCTAGACAACATACAGACTAACATGGTTTAAAGGTCATAGAATTTTACGCTGATCAAAAGATGTATTTTATAGGGTTGGAAGTGATTATTTCGATGAATTATAAACAACAAAAAAACATAATATAAATTTACAAATGTACCCGGTTATTAATCGATCGGTTAAGTCGGTTCACATATAGATACAGATCATATTTTTAAAGTAGTCGACTTTCATATCAATGGTCCTTCAAAAATGCCAGGTCTGTTAGGAGGCATCTCTTGAATATAGCCAAAGTGGTAAATGGCATCATATAGTCGGCCCCGTCCGACTTTACTACTTTTCTTACTGTTTTTTTATAACTAGCTGAGGATTTTATTATTTAAGAATATTTTTCAAGGACTATCTAAGGCGTGGATTATTTAAGATTAGTCTTGTTATAGCTCTTATATAAATGTTTCCATTAATAGTCAAAGGACTATTTGATTTGGATCTTCTGGTTTTAGCATAGAATTTGGTAGGATATGTAATGTACTGTATACAAGAACTATAAACCATCGCAACCACTATAATCCTTCGTATTTTTTTGCATTATTTATGCAGATTAATATAGGATCATTGGAATTGGCTGCGAATCATAATATTCGCCAATATGTCGATGTTTGCAATGAAACGGAAAAGGGTACTCGCTTGAAAGGATTACTCTCACAGATCTACGACCAACCACAACCTGGCAAAATTATCATTTTTGTGGCAACAAAGAAGAAAGTCGACGAATTGTCACGTTTCATCAATGGATTTGGTGTACGAGTCGGTTCGATACACGGTGATAAGTCGCAAACAGATCGTGATAATGTTTTAACTGATTTTCGTGTGGGCCGAACAAATATTTTGGTGGCCACTGATGTGGCTGCTCGTGGTCTGGACGTTGATGGTATTAAATATGTTATTAATTTCGATTTCCCACAATCATCGGAAGATTATATACATCGTATTGGTCGTACTGGTCGCAAACATTCCACTGGTACTTCGTATGCATTTTTCACACGCAAAAATGCCCGCTGTGCCAAGGCATTGGTGGATATTCTACGTGAAGCCAATCAAAATATAAATCCTGATCTGCAGTATATGGCAAATAATGCCGATGATATTATCAATAAGGATAAGCTGATGAGAAAAACAGGCGGATTTGGTGGTGGTGGTCATAAACAAGGAGGTTGTGGTCATGGAGGAGGCATGGGTGGTGGCAGAGGTGGTCGTGGCGGAGGTATGGGAAATCGTGGTGGTGGCGGTGGCAATCGCGGTGGTGCTGGACGACCTGGCCAAAATTTTAACCACAACAACAATAATAACAATAAAAATAATTTTGGCAATAACCGAGGCGGTGGTGGTGCCAATCGTGTTGGATCTCGTGGAAATTTTTCCAATAATAGACATTAAAATTATTTAAAAAAACAAACAGAAAAAATTATCTCATAGTTTTGTAGTTATTATCGTAACCAATTATCAAAAAGAAAACAAGATTGATTCCACTTCATACACAATGATGAATGTTTATAATTATTATTTCTTTATTTATTTTCGGTATTTTTGAAATCCAAAAAAATGAAAATATACCTAATTCCATTAATTTTAAATCCTTTTGTTATTTCTTTTCCTAAATAAAAAAACAACAAAAATAAATAAAAAATCCAAACATATTGCAGGTATATAAATACATGTTTGCGTTTTTTGTTTAAAGAGAAAATGTGGTGTGGTTAAAAAATCAGTTTGGAAATAAAACTAAAAATATGGTCGTATATACTCAGATGTGGGAGTTACATGTGAATATTTGCAGGTGCTTACGTATTCACATATGAATTAGTAACCCATTACCACACTAGCGGAAATATAACGCTGATCGCTTTGAAATTTTCCATAAGGATCCAGGTATGGTCAAGGACAACGCCTATAATTTTCAATGATGATCAGATAATAATATTGGTATGAAGTGGAGCGAAAACTTAATTTGTTGTGTTTTGCGAGTCGATCTATAGGCCACCTTTGAAAGCCGAAAATCACAACACAACCCACGGTGAAGGGAATCTGGACAAGTAATGAGAAGAGCTGCCTCGACATTAGGAATATTTGTTGACCTCTAGTCGGTCAAGAGGGTGCAAATATCGCGAAATATTGCCCAAGCTCAGAACTACACCGCAGAAAGTTAGATGTTCGTGTATGTTGTGTGGGGTTTCATATGGTCGGCCCCATCCACTATACTGCTCCGCTCACTGGTTTTATCATGGAAATGTGAAACAATAGGAGTGTAGTTTTTTCAAGAAAGAGCTCTGAAATATGCTTTTTTTTCTTTGAAAAGGACTGTTCCTAGAATGAAGACAAATCTCGAACTTTGGCAAATTTGAATTTAATTCGCATATGCAAGTTTCGCATCAGGGCGGAATAAATACAAGTTATCAACGTACGACCTTTGTAAAGCCACATAGCCCAATATGCCTGATGAGCCGCTTAACCAACGGCGAAACGCGTCGCATAGTGGTGGGTACGTAGGTTCTTTTCCTGGCTTTCCTTTTCATTGCAAAACTTAGATTTTTTTTGAAATATTTCTTGAAGGGCAAGCACATCAATGGGCATGGATTTATTAGTGATTATTTGTTCAGAGACTAGCACAGAATTTTGAATGTTTATTTTCCGATAAAGGCACATCAATAGGGTGGGTTTTTTAAGGGCCTTTCAAGGACTAGCGTAGCAACAGGCGTAGATATTTTGCGGATATTTTTTCAAGGACTATCACAGATATTTGCCCTAGTTTCTAGAATAAGGTGAGGCGAAGTTTGCTTAGGAAGTAAGGGCACATCTTTCATCCAAAGCAGCTGAGAATTGGTATTTTGAATAGACATTGGATAGCACACAATTCTGCCAAGAATTATCAATATTGGACCACTTTTTTAGGGTAGACAGCCATATAACGGTACCCGTTATTTTGGGGATTATGGACGCGTTTTTACCCACTTGGCTCTAGTAATCAAATAAAACACATTTAATTTACTATTACTAAAGTACTTTATTATTACACAAATTGTTTTTTTATAAAAATATGTATATATGAATGTATATGATTCTATATATAAATGAAAAAAAATACACGGACATTTTTTGTCCACTTTTCGATAGGCTTAGTTCAATTCTACTACACCTTTATGTTTTGGAGAATAACATTTTAATTTTTATAAGGTTTGTGAACTAATAAAGTTCTTTTAATGAAAGGAAATAAAAAAATGCATGAAATCTTTAAACTGTGAAGGATGTGGAACTCAGTTGCGAATATGTTGTGATCCAATAATATTTGGAATAATTTTTTTTCATGGAAAAATTACCTTATGTACGTTATTGTGTTCGGTGCAATCCCGTTCGCCCTTAAAATAATACTAATTTATATAATTTGTGGAAATTATAATGAATATTTTGTAATTATATAATATTAACTAATTTAAAAGAGAAAAAAATATGAAAATATTTTTTTTTCATTTACATTTTATAACTTCTTATAAAAACGAACCAAACAGGGTTACAGCAAAAAAAAAAAAATTAAGTTATCTTTATTGGTATTGTGGGATATTTGTGTTTCTCCCCACTAAAAATAGGGAGCGTAATTTATATGCCTTGCTTGAAAGCCGGTATAATTTAAGATTGCTGTTGATGTGCTGCTGCCTGTTGCTGTTGGGCCTGTTGGCGGCGTGAACCTAAAATAAAAAAAAAACAACAAGAAAAAATATATGTTAAATTTTGTTGGCTAATTGTTATTATATTGCTGGCGGTTTTTTTTTTGTTTTTTTCTCTTCCTGTTCGAATGATTACAAAATCCCATCATCATAACCAACCATCCCTACCTTTGTCCTTATTTTTGCGTTCCTTTTTACCACCATTGCCGGCTTGCTTGCCTCCGGCGCCACCGCCATTATTATTGGGATTACATTTTTTGTTGATGCTACGCACAGCCTCACAGCTGGACGTCGCCGACTCATTGCCGCCTGTTAATTTCAATTTATCCTCGCGCGTCATTTGACCGTTAATACATTCGGACCAGGCGCCCTTTTCATAGCGGCAAGCTGCGACACCAAAAAAAAAGAGAGTGGAGAGAACAATGAATATTAATAAAACAACGTAATAATAACAGTAATTCTGAGTATAATAAGAAAAGCTTTCACAATATGGAAATTTTCTATTTATGTTGTTGTTGCTATAGAAAAATCTTATTAAAAATTGAATGGGAATTTTGATGTCATTTGCAGGAATATTCTATAGAAGTGTCCTATACTTATGTATATTAATATTTGGTCTGTTCCAGAACCAGTAGGAATTTAAAATTTATTACTACGATACAAATTTTCCTTTACGAGGAAAATAGTACATTATTGCAGTACGGAAAAAGATCAATTATTTAAAGCATTTTTAAGGATGTTGAATTAAATCTTTTTTTTAATTTTGATTTTTTTTGGAATTTTATTATTGCAAGTATTGGGCAAGTATTACAATATTGGTCCAAGCCAAAGAAAAAGTACCAATATACGGTATTTTGGGGATTTTAGTAATGTTTCTTAATCGAATTGGTTATAATTTGATATTTGGGTTTCTCATTGGGTTCTAATCCTACCCAAAATGGTCAATATCGGTCCACGTTGAGGTATAGCCCAATATATGGGTACCCCCCAGTTTTTGGTATTTTTTATTAGTATTTCAAAGATAACCAGCATTGTTTCTTATTTCAGTTTATGTTTTTATACCCTTCACCACACTGTGGTACAGGGTATTATGTCTTTGTGCACATGTTGAGAATATGCGTAGAATCACTTTCTGAGTCGATTTATGCATGTCCAGATTTAGATATAGCTCGCATATATATTTTCGTCCGATTTAAGGAAAATGGTGCGCAAAAGTCCCCAAATATATTTTGATTTGAACGAAATTTCGCACAGCGTACTGAATTAAGTCTAGAATGGCGTGTGCTAAGTTTCGTGAAAATCGGTTCAGATTTAGATATAGCTCCCATATATATTTTCGTCCAAATTAAAAAAAATGGTGCGCCAAAGTCCCCAAATATATTTTGATTTGAACGAAATTTCGCACATCGTACTGAATTAAGCCTAGAATGGCGTGTGTTAAGTTCCGTGAAAATCGGTTCAGATTTAGATATAGCTCCCATATATTTTTTCGTCCGATTTAAGGTAAATGATGAACCAAAGTACCTATATATCTTTCAATTTGCACGAAATTTGGCATAGTATACTGAATTAAGTCTAGAACGATGTGTGTTAAATTTCGTGAATATCGGTTCAGATTTAGATATAGCTCCCATATATATTTTCGCCCGATTTTAGGTAAATAGTGCACCAAAGTCTCTATATATCTTTCGATTTGCACGAAATTTGGCATAGGGTACTGAATTAGGTCCAGAATGATGTGTGCTCAGTCTCCTGAAAATCGATTCAGATTTAGATATAGCTCCCATATAAAGTTTTGTCCGATTTTATGTAAATGGTGCATCAATGCCCCTATCAGGGATGGTCCGTGTGACGAATTTTTAGGTTTTCGACCGTCAAAAAGGTGTAAACGTCGAAAACGTCATATACCTGTATAAAATATAATAAATGTAGTAAACGTCGTTTATTTCAATATTATCAGCATATAAAGTTATTTTCAAGAATATATATTATCTTTACATATATCTGACTTTTCCTTGCTAGAACTGATAAAATTTTCTAAATTTTTTTGAGAAGAAAATTTTCAAATTTTTTATGGATTTGAGTAAAGCATGCGTAATTTCCAAATTGATTAAAGGAAATAGCCATTTTGTGAAAAACCTAATGGATTTGGGTAGGTTTCCGACTTTTCTGACGTATGTATTATACGTCGGAAATGTATGTCATTTACGTCACTGTTTCTGATAGGCCGTCTCTGGCCCCTATATATCTTTTGATTTGCACGACATTTTGCATAGTGTACTGAATTGACACTACAATGACGTGAGTCAAGTTTCGAGAAAATCGGTTCAGATTTAGATATAGCTCCCATATATAGTTTCGTTCGATTTAAGGTAAGAGGGGCGCCAAAGTCCCTATATATCTTTCGATTTGCACGAAATTTGATATAGGTCCAGAATGATGTGTCCTCAGTCTCCTGAAAATCGGTTTAGATTTAGATAAAGCTCCCATATAAAGTTTTGTCCGATTTTCTGAAAATGGTGCATCAATGCCCCTATATATCTATGGATTTGCACGAAATTTTACATAGTGTACTGAATTGACTCCACAAAGACGTGAGCCAATTTTTAGTGAGCTTCAGAATATTTAAGGATTTTTAAATATTAAAAAAAAAAATATTTTTTAAAGTCCTTAGGTCTTGAATTTTTAAAAGGTCCTAAGGGCATGGATTTGTAAAACAAAATTTGTTGACGCCCTTCAGAGCGTCGATTTTTAAAAGAGTATTTTTTGTGGGTCCTTCTGGGCAAAGATTAAAAAAGTATTTGAAGGTGCTACATCACATTTTTAAGTTGCTTCAGATCGTGAATTTGTAAAAGAATATTTGTTTGTTATGGTCATTCAAGGTGTTGACATTACATTTTCTAAGGTCTTTCAGGTTTAAAGGCCCTTCAGATTGTGGATTTTTAAAATAATATTTTGTGATGGTTCTTCAGGCCGTGGATTTTTAATAGAATATTTTTCTTAGGTCACTCAGGGCGTGTCATTTGGTGCCCATTTTTTTTAAATATTTCTAAAGGACATTTAGAGTGTAAAAATTAAAAAAACCGCTATTATTATTAAAAAGAATATTTTTAAGGTCCTTCAGAGAGTTGATTACTAAAATATTATTGTTTGAGGATAATTCAGGGCATGTATTTTTCAAAGGATATTTTTTGAAGGTCTCTTCAGGGCATGTTTTTTTTTTGAATACTATTGCATGAAAGTTGTCCAGAGCGAGCAATTTTGAACAATTTCTGAAGATCCTTCGGAGTTTAGATTTTTGAAAGAATTTTTTGGTGTTCTTACGAGATTTAGATATTTTTTAAGAATAGTATTGATGGTTGTCCTGAACCTGGATGGTTTTAAAGAATATTTATTAAAATCGTTTAGAAAGTGATTTTTTTCATATTTCATCTCATGGCGTAATATTCATATTTTATATTCCATTTCGATATTTACCAACAATGAGTGTATGTACGTCTAGCATTTAAAATCCATTATTTTCCGAATTCTAATGAAACACATTTCGAAACGAAGAACATGAATACGCATTCTTCATTACCACTACAAAGAAACGTATACACGAAATATCATCTAGCAAATCAAAAAAAAGGGGAATTGTTATTCAAAACTATTTTCGTTTTTAATGAGTTTTTAAGTACCCAGTGTTGTGGGTAAAAACCACACCTTTGCGCTTGGTAGCAACAGAACAAAACACATTCACACGCACACACACACAAACTTGCTAAAAATGGTAAAAATAAGTACAAAACTTTCAATTTTTTGCCATACTCGATTTTAACAATTATTACACACTCACACTCATCTAGACTATAAAATGCATTCAAAAGTGTGCATGTATGTGTGCGTAGTTATCATGGTTTTTTTTCGTTTTTTGCTCATAATATGTCGTTATTCCGCTACAATGCACAATTTACAGCGGCAGGACAATGCCAGCGTAGTGCTGTTGGAAAAAAGAAGTGCAAATTCGAATAACAAAAACATTTTAAAGCGGGTACCTTAATTGTTTCTATGCGACTGCACAACAACAAAATAAATAAACTTACACTCGCACACACACACACTCTCAGATGGAAATCAAATCGCAAACGCATTGCCAGCAAACGAACTATTGCTGCAGTTAGTACCTATTCACTGGTCCTTTTGCTATACCCCCTCTCTCTGTGTATCTCACGCTGATGTTCTCTCTCTTTGACTAACTTTTAACTATATTTTAATTACACTGTTGGTTTGTTTGTTGTCTGATGCCATTTTTCGCGCCCATTAGACGATTTTCACTGAAACCTAAACGTGCCGGTAAACGCCATGCTGCCATGCATTGCCATAATAATGAGGCTTAATGGGGGTTTACAGTGGGATTTTGGTGTTTCGCATTTAAAAAAAGCCAGTAAGGAAAGTAGTAAAGTCGGACTGGGCCAACTATATGATACCCTTCACCACTTTGGGTATATTGTACATACAATGTATCCTTACAATTGTATGTCCATGTTTCTTCGAAGGATCATACTCATGTCTTTTTGCAACCTATGATAAATTTAATTTCATTCGGGCAAATTTATGGAATACGATTTATAGCGAATTTGATACACGCTATTCGGTACGCTGCACTGTTAAAAATTGAATTTTAATCAGACACCCGTTCGAAATACATATAGAAACTATGGCTGCATCTGCACCAATTGCAACAAAACCCAATAATGTCATTCAAGTCTCAATTTGATACGCTATGCAAAATTTCGTGTTAATCGGACAAATATTAGGAGTTTACCATTTACTTAAAATCGGACGAAAATATATATATGGAAGCTATATCTAAATCTGAACCGATTTTCACGAAATTTAACACACGTCGTTCTAGACTTAATTCAGTACGCTATGCCAAATTTCGTGCAAATCGAAGGATATATAGGGACTTTGGTGCACTATTTACCTAAAATCGGACGAAAATATATATGGGAGCTATATCTAAATCTGAACAGATTTCCCCGAAATTTAACACACGTCGTTTAGTACGCTATGCCAAATTTCGTGCAAATCGAAATATATATAGGGAATTTGATACACCATTTACCTAAAATCGGATGAAAATGTATATGGAAGCTATATCTAAATCTGAACCGTTTTTCACGAAATTTAACACACATCGTTCAGACTTAATTCAGTACGCAATGCAAAATTTCGTGCAAATCGAAAGATATATATAAAATCGGATGTAAATATATATATATTGGAGCTATATCTAAATCTGAACAGATTTTCACGAAATTTAACACACGTCGTTTTAGATTTAATTCAGTACGCTATGCCAAATTTCGTGCAAATCGAAATATATATAGGGAATTTTGTAC